AAGTGAAACATCAAAATCTTCATCATCAGTTTAATCAACATTCAAAAGACTCTAGAAGTGAAATCAAAGATTGACCCTAGAGAAAAGCTGCCTGAACATTATCATGAGTTTTTGAATGTATTTGATAAGAAAGCTGCTGACGCTCTACCCCCACTTCATGGCCCAAGTAGAGATCATGGGATTGAACTGATTAAAAAGGCTGATGGTAGCACAGAACAACCCCATTGAGGCTCATTATTTAATATGTCTTGAGAGGAACTATTGACTTTGTGAAAGACTCTTACAGATTATCTAGATAAGGGTTTTATTAAAATGAGCAACTCTCCTGCAGCTGCCTCTGTACTATTTGTGAAGAAGTCTAGGAGTAGGCTAAGATTCTGTGTGAACTATTGAGTTCTTAACAAAATCATCTGAAAGGATTGATATTCTCTATCATTAATCAGTGAGACTCTACAGAAAATTGAATAGACTAAATAATTCACTAAGCTGGATATTATTGCAGCTTTTTACAAGATTTGAATCATGGAAGATGATGAGTGGATGACAGCCTTTAGAACCAGATATAGACTATTTGAGTGGCTGGTTACACCCTTTGATTTGGCCAATGCTCTAAGCATGTTTCAAAAATATATCAACTGGATATTACATAGATATCTGGATAACTTCTGCTCAGTCTATTTAGATGACATCTTAATATTTTCCTCAAGAAGCTTATAGAAGCATTGTGAGCATGTACAAAAGATGCTTATACATCTACAGGAAGCAGGCCTGCAGGCAGACATCAGAAAGGGTGAGTTTGAAATGAACATCACAAAATATTTTGAATTCATCATTGAAGTGGGCAAGGGTATACAAATGAATTCAGAGAAGGTTAAAGCTGTTTTAGAATGAGTGACATCTACTACTCTTAAAGATGTACAAGGATTTTTAGACTTTGTCAATTTCTATAGATGATTTATCAGGGATTTCTCAAAAATCATGATCTCACTGACAATTCTTACATGCAAAAATGTTTTTTTTTTGTAGATGAGCAAGGCTGAGGAAGCTTTTAAGCATCTAAAATCAATGTTTATCTCCACTCTGATCCTGCTTCAATTCAACCTTGACTATGAGACTATATTGAAAATGGACTTCTCAGGTTACACCTCAGAAGGAGTGCTGCTACAATATGATGAGCAGAGTATTCTACACTCATATGCCTTCTTCTTTCACAAGCATTCACCTGCGGAATGCAACTACAAAATTTATGATAAGAAGTTATTAGTGATAATTGAGTGTTTAAAGAAATTAGACACTGAGCTACAAAGTGTAAAGGAATTTAAGATCCTCACAGATCATAAGAATCTAGAATACTTCATGACTACATACAGACTAAATGAAAGACAGCTACATTGAATAGATATTCTCTATCAATTCAACTTCAGAATTGATTACCAGCCAGGGAAGTTGAATACTGGACCAGACATCTTATTATGAAGAGAGCAGGACATGTCACAGAGTGCTGATGATGAGAGAATCAAGCAGAGACAAGCTCAACTACTTAAGTTTAATATACTGACATCTGAAATAAAATCAATAGTGGCTGCTGCCAGTGTGAAACCTGAGATGTCTCTTCAAGCTCAGTGAAATGAGACTCACAAAAATGATAAGATTCTGCAGCATCTGAAGCAAATTCTTCATGAGAGAAGATTCAGATTTTCTTCTGAACTCAGCATTAAGACCTTCATCTCTGAGTGCTTTTTAAATGAGAACAGAGAGCTTCTCTTTCAAGATCATAAGTGAGTGCTAGACTTCTAACCTCTTTGAACCAGATTAGTGCATAGGGCTCATGACTCATCTCTTACTGGTCATCCCAGGTGAGAGCAAACAGCAGAAGTTCTAAGATATGAGTTCTACTGATCAGGCTATGCTGCCAATGTGAGAAAAATGATCAAAAACTGTCATCTTTGCAGATCAAACACCATATGAAGAGATCAACATCAGGGACTGCTTAAGCCTTTTCTCATTTCTGAACATATGTGGCAGGAGCTTTCTATGGACTTTATCATGAACTTATCAAGCTCTAAAGAATACATGAACATCATAATTATAATAGACAGACTGATCAAGAGAATTATATTAAAAGCAGTTAAGAAAACTGATGTGAAGACAGTGACTAAAGTGTTTCTTCACAACATCATTTCTCAACATGACATTTATAAGGCAGTAGTATCAGATTGAGGATCAGCTTTCACAAGCATGTTTTGAACTTGAGTGTGTGAGAAATTAGACATTAAGAAATGACTCTTCATAGTCTATTACTCAGAAACTGACAGAGCTATAGAGCAAATGAATCAGACCCTGAAAATCTACCTATACAAGTATATTAGCTTTCAACAGGATGACTGCTGTGAATAGCTCCCTCTAGCAGAGCTAATCATTAATAATAGAGATGCTGCCTTAATGAGTGTGAGCTTATTCTTTTTAATGCATTCTTTTCATATCTCCTTCATTGATATAGCTGATGCACCTCCTGTTAAAACATCACATAATCTCATTGAGTTTGCAGATGATTATATGAGAAAGATCTGTGAAGTGTTGAAGTGATCTCAAGTAAAAATGACAGATGCTCAGCAATCTCAAGAGAAATATATGAATAGATGAAGAGATTTAGCTTCAAGCTTTCAATCTGAAGATAAGATCTGATTGAGCTTAAAGAACATGAGAACTAATCATCTGTGCAAGAAGCTGAACATAAAATATAATCAATATACTGTGCTAGAAAAGATAGAATTTCATATTTACTGACTGAATGTCTCACTCAGCATTCACAATATCTTTAATGTAAAGCTTTTACATACTATGATGACAGATTCTCTATCTAGTCAGAGGCAAACTGATTGGCAGTCACCTGCTATAGAGACCTCAGAAGAATCTGAGTTTGAGATTGAGGAAATTCAGAATGAACAAACCTACCAGAGGAAAAAGCAATACCTCATTAAATGAGTAGGTTGAGCTGAGCCTATGTGAAATGACACAAGTCTTCTACAAGAAGTGAAGACATTGAATGCTTGGGAGGCCTCTCAGCAGGCAAAATTAGATATAAAAAGAACATTAAATAGTTGTAAAGACCTGCAACAAAGAGGGAGAAGAGGAGTATTATAAGAGATTGAACCTCTAGATTTACTCTGGCTGGCTGACTCAGCCTAGTCATTGTTTGCACATGCACACATAATCATACTATGTGAGCTTGCTTAAGCTCAAGTTCTCATCTCATTCTTTTCTTCCTTTTCTCAAGCAATTCATCCTTGTTATATAGGAGGACTAGTCTCTAGTTCTTAGAGCTTAATCCTTTACATATATATCCTCTGACAGAATCTCATGCTCAGCAATTGTAGTCTTCAAAGTCTTAAATCAATCCTGTATAACTCTGATATCTTTGCATTTAACTTGTTCATGATTATAGCATCTGGAATAGCAGCTTTGAAGCTCTGTATACTGTCTAATCAGTTTTGAAATCCAGTTCTTGCTGACCCAGTGGGGAGAAATAGTAGAGATGATGAAATTCTATAAGGTAAGAAGATAATTAACTATATCCTCAACAAATGCCAGCTGAGGAGAAAATCCTCATTTAACATAGTTCAGCACCCATTCAACTAGCCTATCCTCTTCAGTCTGAGTCAATTTGTGTGAATTTAAGTGTAAATTCATCTGTGCAGGTCTGCCACTTAGTCAATGACTAAGAGTAGAAGATGAAATATCAAATAGATATGCAGCTTCATGAATTGAGAGTTTTTCATCATTTTGAATAGATTTTATCATGAGTTCAAGCCTCCCCTCTCTCTCAATAGAATTTGAAGAATTTTTATTATGAATTAGTGGCATAATTGCGCGTTGAAGTGAAAGGATAGTTGAATTAAATGATATTTGAAATGGTGTCTCGCTCGCTGGGATGTCTCGCTCAGTGTGGAATTACGTTAGCTGTATTTAACTAGTTGATGAACTGCCTACTTAACTATTAGTCAAGTTAATGCTGTTGTCATGTATTGGATTATCTTAGAGGACTATTATCAACCTTGTTGCATTGTGTGACTCTAAGCAAGCTAGCTAGCTACTAATAAATACATAGATGCACGTGACCTCGGGTAGCCGGGGAATCCTCTAACAGATTACCTAGCTACTAGCTGAGATCTAAACTAGAAGGGAGGCACGTGATTAGGTTAGCCGGTAGTGTCCAAGTTGTGGGATGGTTGAATCTCTCATATTGGGAGGCCTAGCTAGCTATCTAATATACGCTATATCACGTGCGGCGGGGCGACAGCCCGGGCCACATTCGCCCAACACAAATAACATAGATGAGTAACTAACCTAAATTAGTTAATTAGATAAAGTAATTGGAACGGACAGCTGTTGGAGCCTGGGTTTACGGGCAGATAATGAGGGGAGATTGACAATCTATCGGGGAATGAGGGAATGGCTTTCATTAGGACATCCATCCGAAGATAACTATGTCAGCTTATATCTCTTACATATCTCAAAGCTGAGGGATTTCTGCATTTTCAGCTGCACGGTATTGTTATTCCCAGGATTACAGTTTTTCTACCATATTAGCCAGGATAGACACCCCTGTCCCCACTTCCAAAGGGCTGCTGGTGGTTTAGGTGATATCCACGTTCCACGTGACCTCCCCTGTTGGCCAGGCAACCCGCCAGCTTCGCGGGCTTACCGCGTTAAGTGGAACACGAGATCCCGTGACTTTTGGCAGAATAACCCTTCGGGCAGCTAGGCCTTGCGCTTGGCAAGACCCCGTTGACAGCTTCAACAACTTCCAACGTCGACCCAAGATAATTAATTACCAAGTAATAGAATTCCATCACAGCAAAACTCAAGCTTCTACTAGCCTAGGCTTCAACACAAACACCCGACTTAAATCAATTACAAATGCTATCCACGGTGTCTTGTCTTTGCATCTCCTCCCCTCCCCTGACCTCTTCCCTTTCCCCTATGTTGCTGTTTCGGCCATGCTTTGCCAGCGACACACCTCTCCACTACACTTCGAACCCCTGTCCCCGTCGCCCTCAGACCTGCTAAGTGGCTTCTCCTCTTCTGACAGTGGTGACGTACTGGATGATGCTTCCAGGGCTTCGAGAAGGAGGAAAATCGAGAGCCTGGCACAGGATTACCTCGAAGGAAAGCCTCTATTTATTCTGTCGGCCAGTCTGAAGGGTCCCTTCAACAATGACTGGGTCAATCCGTGGAAGAAATCAGAATCTCCTAAAGAGTTGTCGAACAAGCAGCAGCGAATGAAAGGCGAGGCCCAGGTAGATAGATCGGGGATTAGAGTGGTACCTGTACCTGAGCCTTCATCGTCAGTAGTAAAACACATCAAACGCCATTCGAAATACCCCCGAGTTCATCGCCAGGGGAGTGGATTTGAATCTTCTTCCAATCCGGAGCCTATTTGCCACCTCCAACAGCAGCAGCAGCAGCAGCAACATCAACAACAACAACAACAATCACAACAGTATGTCAATGACTTGGGAAGAAAGTCAGGAAAGAGGGATAGAGAGCGACTTGAGACCGATATCTCCAGCCACGGTCAACAAAGAAGCCCGTCGATTGTCCTCTCAAAACAGCGATCAAAATCCGCAGTGCAGTCACGGATCTCTTCTTCGCAAGCAGAGCGTCACTGGTCAGCACCATACCGCGTTTCAAAGAGCCGCTGGTTGGAAAAGGATGAAAAGAATGAAAAGAGACTTCATCAACAGGACTTCAACCGTTCAATCTCCTCAGCCAGTCCCACACCCGGCTACCGCCGGCGCTTTCCTAGAGAATCTCAACTGCAGGACAGAGGAATACAGCACAAGAGGCAGCGGGTGGGTGATTTGGATGATCAGCACAAAACCCCCACTCCTCACCATATCGCATTTACCCCTATCAATGGACGACTTCATCCTGAGGAAGTGTCCTCTTCTCGGAGAAATTCAAAGTCTCCGGGAGGTCGTTCCTGTTATCCAAAGCCCGACAATCCCGGTTCTGCGTTTACAGGGCATTCCAGCCGTAGAGAAAAGGAAGATATTTCTCTGCATGACAAGAAGAGCAGTTATGCTTCAGCACCGAAATCACAAAAATCTCAAGATGTACATGTTTCAACGTCGCTTCATGTTGTCACTTCGTTAGACCATCATCCAGAGTCTCAATATGGACACACTGATAAGGTAAGGTCAAGCGCAAATACAACCTCAAGCTCCAATACCCGTAAAGCTGAAAATCGATGGCGATCGCAATCGCGCGGTGATAAACCGCAACGCAAAAACAAACTAAGGAGTAAAGAAAATATTTCACACAACTCTGTACCAGATCTAACCCCTGAAGGAACACATGATTTCCAGGACCAGGACCAAGACCAGGGTCAAGATCAGAACCATACTTTCAATGCAACTGCATCAGGAACCATTCCCATTCCATCTGCCCAACTGATCCCGGAGCATTCCAGATTACCAAACCCCGCATTATCCCTCTATTCCACTGACTTCTCGGGAAGGCACAATGTCACAGGCACCATGAGACACGAGACTCAGAATCTAAACCACGACGAGCAATTTTCGACCAAGGTAGCATTGACCATTGCCCAGAAGTCGTTGGGGGACGATTTGGCCTTTGCAACTGGGGATATAGTTACAGCAACAGAAATAAGAAAAGCTTCTCTACAGCGGACTGGCCAAGCTGAACAACAAATCAATGACGTATCCGTATATGATATCCCGAATGACGACCAACCTGCCACGAATAATCCCAAGCGTCAAGCGCAAGACGGAAGCACGCGAGCGATGCTTAATTCACAGGCGCTGTTTGATTTCAGTACGGTAAAAAGGATAAAACCGGGACGACCATCAGAGGCAGATACGGATATAGTTGGTAAAAAATCCAAGAGGCAACGAGACACGTCCTACCCCTATTATGAACCGCCACAAGCATCTCCCTCGAACCTACGAATACAGACACAATCTCTATCTCCCAAATCCGTCCCCTTCCTTCCCAATGGTGGTCAGACCAACGACTCCTCCAACCTTCCTCATCCCCTTTCCCTTCCCCGTCCATTCCCTGCCGCTGCCTCTGCCCCCACCGACTCATCCCAACCCAACCACCTCTCCAACCCCATCCACCCCCTTACAACCAACCCATCCACATACACAGACAGCACCATCCTCCCCTTCAACCTCACGTCCTCTACAACGGGCACGTGCCACCAAGACGGTCAAGGCCACGGGGAATCGAGGGACAATTTCAATCTGAGCCAAGCGATCCTGGATGCGGGGACGTTTTTGGGCAGCTGGGATTTTGAGAGGTTGGAGCTTCAGCTCAGTCATAGTCATAGTCAAACTCACAGTTACGGGCATGGCGGGAGGAATAGCGCTGGTAATGGTGATGGGAAGATACAGCCGCCGCAGCTGTCGTCTGAGAATGTGGATGCGTCTGGACCGAGGCTGCAATCTATTCTAAGGTCGGAGGGGTCGGGGAGGTGGTAGATGTGGTCATGTATTGCTGCTATTGGATTTTTGGTTGTGGGTTGGGGTTTGCTTGTTATGCTTTTGGTTGAGGGTATGGTGTTTATTGGAGGCAAAGGGTTGGGGCTCACGGCGCGCATACATATACATACAACATTCAAAACATGTGTTGTAAGGTATTATATGATATAGAAGATAGATAGCATGTCGTAGCAGATAGTAAATGAGAAATATGGTAGAAGGATGTGGTCTTAATGGAGATGTTTAAATAGGTTACTCTTAAGAAGTTTTATTTTCTTAGTTTAAATAATAGGATTTGGTTTAAGGGTCTATCAGAGGGAGATGAAGTGTACATTATATACCTATTTTCTCTCCACGTTTTAAGCTGGTTAAAGACGATAATTTGTTGATATCGACTTTGCACGGAGTACAGAGTTCCAATAGTTCATTTTCCGCCGGATTACTGCGCCTCGATAGCTTCAGCCACACCTAACCTGTTTTTGTTAGTTTGTGGAGCATCTCCCTTATCTCCCAGCTTAGTCATGCCGCAACGATGGTTATAGTTAACTAACTAGTTAACTAGTTAATATCATCAACCATCACCAACATTATACGGAGTTCTCTGTATGTAACACGATATCTATTTCCCGCTGACCCTACGTCTCATGGCGCCGGCGCTGGTACATGCAAATGGCTTTGACTTCAGTAAGGGCCCGCTTTACTCTGAACAATTTTAAAGAATTGCTACCGCTAACATAATAAATACCCTACCTACAGTGGAAAACCTTCAACTTTTTCGAAGTCTCCCCCGTTCAGTTCCCAGACGGCGAACAGTCAATCTTCGATGTGCGCCATCCTACTCAGACTTACCTCCTCTCACACATAAAACCAAAGATCTAATGCTAACATCCCCTCCCTCCCCCCTTCTCAATCCTACAGAGCGACGTAAGCTGCATCTGCACAGGCTCCGAAAACCTCTTCCTCGGCACCACCGATGGCACCGTGCACATCCTCTCGCAGTCCTTCAAGGTGCTGCGCACCTTCAAAGCACACGACACAGGTTCCATAACGCACATGAGGCAGGTGGATGCGACGTCGTTAATCGTCACGATTTCCGAGGATCTGCTGAATGACCCCGTGCTGAAGGTGTGGGCCCTGGATAAGGAGGAAAAGAAGACCGGGGCGCCGAAGTGTCTTTCGACGGTTATGGTGCAGAATGGGAGGAGGCAGTTTCCGGTATAACATACAACATCAGTAATTCTCATGCGATATATATAATACTTGATACATGTTGTCTCACATCCTCTCTCCAACCAGGTCTCCGCCTTCGTCGTCCTCCCCGACCTCTCCCAACTCGCAGTGGGATTTGCCAATGGTTCCGTCACCGTGATCCGCGGTGACCTCATCCACGACCGCGGTGCCAAGCAGCGAACGGTTTTCGAATCCGAAGAACCCGTCACAGGCCTGGAAATCCAGCACGGCCCCGTCATCACCCTCTACATCTCCACGACAGGCCGTATACTAACTCTTGTTATCTCCGGGAAGGGCCAAGGCCAACCCGCCCGCGCCCTCGAGGACCTAGGTTGCGGCGTTGGCTGCATGACCTTCGACCACCAGACGGGTGATATCATCATAGCACGGGAGGATGCGATATATACCTATGGTCCCGGTGGGCGGGGACCCAGCTTTGCCTTTGACAGTCCGAAAACGTCCATATATACGTTTCGGGATTATATTGCGTTGGTCTGTCCGCCCAAGTCGGCTTTGGCGAAATCTGATACGCTGCGGCGGTTTGGGGGGGTCCCAGTTGAGGAGATCTTGACTACGTCCATGTTTACGATATTGGAGCCGGACCTAAAATTCATTGCGCATTCGGAGTCGCTGGCGTCTAAGGTGAAGTTTGTGTTTATGGAGTGGGGGGATCTGTTTATTGTTACGGTGGATGGGAAGGTGTGTATTTTTTTTTTTTTTTTTTTGGTTCACTTGGGCTTCTGGGTAACATATAAGATAGGTATCTCGATATCGTGAAAAGGCACTCGAACAGAAGCTGGAGATTCTTTATCAGCGGAATCTTTATATCTTAGCTATCAATCTGGCTCAGAAAGCTGGGGTTGATAAGCTGCAGCAAAATGTCATTTTCCGCAAATACGGTGACTACTTGTACCAGAAAGCCGACTACGACACTGCAATGCAACAATATCTTCGTGCTATTGATAATACAGAACCATCCCAAGTCATTCGAAAAGTATAGTTCCTTTCTTGTCTTCTCTGTTGCTTATGATCACAAGTAGATACTGACTTTGCTTTGTGCTGTGTACAGTTCCTGGATACCCAACGAATCCACAATTTGATAGAATACCTCGAAGAACTCCACGACCATGAAAAGGCGACCGCTGACCACACAACGCTGTTGTTGAACTGCTACGCGAAATTGAAAGATACGACCAAGCTTGATTCGTTCATTAAAGCCCCTGGAGAACTCAAATTTGACCCAGAGACTGCCATTGCAATGTGTCGACAGGGTGGTTACTACGAACAAGCTGCATATTTAGCCACAAAGCATAATGAAAACGATATGGTGGTCGACATTTTAATTGAGGATTCGCAGAAATATGCGGACGCATTGAAGCACATTGGGAATCTAGAACCTGGTATTGTAAGTTAGCACCTACCATTCCACATGAGCCGCGTTCTATTCGGAAATGGCTAATAACTAATGATGAAACCCAGGCGTATCCGAATCTAATGAGATACGCTCGCGTCCTGCTGGGCCATTGCCCGCATGAGACGACAAATCTTTTCATCGAATATTATACTGGGCAATTTCGACCCAGACGAGAACCCGAGTACCCATCAGAGGAAAATCATCCCCAGCCACACGGTGGAAATCCAATCCAAAACCTCACTTCATTTATTCCTATCCCAGGCGCGCATTCCACTAAAGCTCCCCCTGCTCAGCCACAATTAGCACCAGAGATCGAACCTCCGCCTGAATATGAGATACCAAAACCGCGAAACGCGTTCTCGGCCTTCGTTGACCAGCCGCAGAGATTCATAGAGTTTCTTGAGGCCCTGATTAAGCACAATAATCTGAAAAAGGAGGATAAGATTGATTTGTATACGACTCTGTTTGAGATGTATCTGGATACGGCTAAGCGGGCGAAAGATAGTGGGGAAAGGGAGGAGTGGGAAGGGAAGGCGAAGAAGTTGATTGAAGGGAAAGATGTATGTTACTCACGGTTTTGTTCTCTAGTGGAAGAATATTTTTACTAATCAAGTTTATATCACAGATTCCCGTATCGACATCAAATGTTTTACTACTCTCTGACCTATCCAACTTCCGCGAGGGGACAAAGTTAGTCCAAGAGCAGCAGGGCCTCTGCTCGGATATATTCCGCTCCTACACCTCCGCTAAGGATACCGCCGGCGTCATCAAGGCGCTGAGAAAATACGGCCCACAAGAGCCACAATTGTACATGGATGCTCTAGCTTATTTCTCATCCAGTCCGAAAATCCTAGAGGAAGCCGGCGATGAGCTGTATGAGGTTCTCAAAAAGATCGATCACGACGGTTTAATGGCGCCGTTACAGGTGATCCAAGCGCTGAGCAACAATACGGTGGTAACGATGGGGATGATTAAAAAGTACCTCAGTGACAATATCGAGAGGGAGAGGAAGGAAATAGCAAATGTGCGCACCATACAAGGGCAGAAAACACCCATTTTTCTACTTGCCATTACTAACCAAAATCTTAATACACACAGAACCGCCGCCTTATATCCAGCTACACCACCGATACAGATGCAAAGCAAAAAGAAATCGCCGAACTAGGCACAAAGCCTTTCGTCTTCCAAGCCCGCAGCTGCTCTTCCTGCCACGACAGACTAGACCTCCCAACCGTGCACTTCCTCTGCAAACATTCGTTCCACCAGCGGTGTCTGAACAGAGTGGATAAGGACGCCGAGTGTCCCGTCTGTGCGCCGCAGAACGCGACGATCAGAGCTATACGTGAGAGGCAGATTAAGTCTGCTGACCAGCATGAGCTATTTAAGAGTGAGTTGCAGCGGAGTCGGGATCGATTTGGGACTGTTAGTGAGTTTTTTGGGAGGGGGATTATGAGGGCCAATCATGCGGAGTAATGTTGGTTATTAATTTTTTGCTGGGATATCGATTTATTCATGAATTTAATGTACAGATATATCTGTTAATTTCGATATGTGCAATGGCCCTTTCGTTATATGTATATTGCACATTTATGCATATATACTTTAGATTTACTAAGGGAACCATTATTTCTCCGTTAAAAGAAGTAAATGATTCTTCTTATAGACACGTGACTTCGCGTCTGTCATCACGCCCCGTGCCTGAACTTAATTCCAGCGACAAACAACCCAACATCGAAAGATATCGTCATCTGACATCAACTTTCGCCAAAGACCCAGTCAAAGGTGCAGATCCGCATACCAAGGGTCCTCGTGGGTTACCTCACATACCCATTGTCCATTGCATCGCCATTGCTCAACAAGATGTCATCCAATTTCGTAATTCAGGACTCAGACGACTCGGAAGCAGAACTCAGCGACATCGCTACATCCATCGACCCCCTCCAAGACAATAGTACCAGTAATATCAATGCCAACTCTGCATTTACTCCTCATGGTGCCCTGTTCTCTAGGCAACCTAAGCGATTCGACCGTAATGATCATGCACCTGGCGAAGCATGGACTGACAATGATTCTTTCACTTTTCATGGACCTCTAAACTTCGATTCGAACGTCAGTGTCATCTTCAGTCAATTCATCGCGTCGCAATCGCAAGATCAGACAGGAGCTGGGGAGGCTTCATTGTCTCAGCAGCAAAGGGAGAAGGCATGGATTGGAGAAAGGGAAAGTGATGATGGAACCGGGGATGGAGCACGTTCTAGCCCTATGAAGTTTAGTGAGCGGGGAGTTTGTTCTTCGTCTCGGAAAAGTATTTTGAAAAGGGGGAGGACGATGAGTGTTGATGACAGGGTGGAGAATGCGGGAGTTGAAGGAAAGAATGCCAAACGACGGCGGACAATGGATATGTGGTCATGTCATGATGAAGTTGGAAAGCCTGTTGAGGTTTCTGGACGGCCGGAGCAGGGTAATGATGATAATGGCATTGGTAGCAATGCAGCGTCTGAACAAATTTTTGATGCGGATTGCTCTTCCGCTCAAGACTTAGTTACTGAAGCTACGAATACTCCCAATCATCTCTCTCCTGAAGCCACATCACAGCCTTTAGATACATCCGGAGCAGAATTTCTCTCCAGAAAACTCCCAGCGGGCCGATCAAAGTCCTCTCAGATATATGAGGTTACTGGTTACGACACAGAGATGATGTCCTCCGCAACTCTCGCACGAGCACATAGGAGAGTGTCGGCGTCCTTTATAAGTGACCAGTCAGAATCTTTGACGAATTGCACACGTGATGAGCTCGCGCTACCACCTATGTTTCAAGGTGCAATAGCAATTAAGAAATCAACATCGTCATCGACATGGACGCAAATGAAGGTGGCGGCTGTTGAAAGGACCACCGAAGGGAACAGTGACCGGGATGAGTTGGATTGTATTGAGAAAGATTTTGGCGATATGCCTCAAGAACGGTACAAGCCACGGCCAAGCGGGTCTCGAAGTAAGGTTACCGTTGATACAAGAACGGGGGTTGACGGTGGCGCGAATGGTCACATTGAAGTCGTCCTTCAGCATGAAAATTCCTCCTCAGTTGTTCAAAACAGACAGCAAGGCAAAGACAGAGACTTTGTTGTTACACAGTTTATTCTTGACCAAGGTGAGGAGGACCCGTTAAATGCTTCAGTCCAGGGGGCCGGTCATGATTATCCTTCAAAGCCTGATGCAATCAACGTATCTGAGCCACATGAGATACCTAAACGGCCACGCAAAGCGGCAAAGAAGAAGGTTAAGCGGGGAAAGACTACTTCCGTAATGATGACGAGGGCTATAGAATCAGACGTTGAAGATGATGTGATATGGATGGATGAAAAGCCAGCAGATGTTACTTTCAAATACGAAAAGATTGCATTAAAAGGTCTGAAGAGAGCTGAATGCTACGAAGTCAATAACAATCACGGCCTCAGCAATGGCACCAAGAATATCAATGAGGATGCAGAATCTGAAGTCAAAACGGAGGACGAAAGGGCGATCGAATATGCAAAGCAAAGGGATATGAATTTCCAGGAACCAGTTGATCCTCCAGCTCCAGCTTCGGTTCCTGCACCTAAGAAACGAGGTCGAAAACGGAAGAAGACGACGGATACTCCAACTAACGAACTGCCTCTCCCAGCTGTGGAAACCAAACCCTCGATCGAAGAACGCAAGAAAGATATCCAACCTCTTACAAAACAGGACCAAAATATCATCGTTTCGACAGCGGACAGAGAATCAGAAATATACAAACCAATTGCTGCTGTGAAGGGCAAGCAACCACCGCAAACCAATGAGCAAGATCAAGAGAACCCCTCAACAGAAGCTCAAGTGGGCACGATAACAATTACAGTTGCAGCGCCTCAGCCTATCGAAACGCCCAAGAAGCCCTCAGCGGCAGTACAAAAGGGGCCAGACAAACACAGTCCCATCACAATAAACAAGAAGGTACCATACCGGGTAGGCCTGAGCCGCACAGCGAGGATAGCACCTTTGCTGAAGTTGGTTAGAAAGTAGGAGAGGGAGCAAAATGACACGGGTATGAAGCAGCCCATATCAAGAACGAAGTATAACTGCAATATTGTATCCTGTTGCGAACCCCATCAGCTCAAGGTCCTCGCACCCGCACCTTTGTCCTCGTGATATATTTTTCTTTTCTTTTCTTTTCTTTTCTTTTCTTTTCTTTTCTATTTTATTTTTTCGGTTGCTCCACAGGAATTAAAATATGCATCCTTACACCCGATATGTGTTACTCGTCCGTCCCTTCCTATTGCCTGACGGATGCCACCATTGTATTTCTTTGTAACACCCGCGCTTATTCACACCTACGTTCGCGAATGGTTGCATTTGATATATCTGCATGAGCCATGATTTATGTATACTTATACCCCCGTTATAAATCCGAATTGATATTTTATTACTTCCCCTACATTATACCCCCTCCTCTTTACCCGAATAAGTTTCTTCCACAATTCTTTCACACGGTAGTAAAGGTATTGATACCACCCTACCATCGCTCCCGTTTAAAAAATACAATAATGCCTTGATAATAACAGCCATCCAGAATATAGCAATTGCGTAAAAGCGCGCACGTATGCCATGGACCTTGTGTCTGGCGAGCAGGAGTATGAGACTCCTTGCTCTAAATCTTCAAAATCTGAAAGTACTGGAGTTGGAGAATAATTTTGCACACACTATACGTTTATTAACAGAAAACCTGAAACAAGGCGAAGAAGTAGAGTGAATTGGTTGGCTAGAGAGCCCTATGGACAGAAGACACGTAGTATTGGTTTCGAGAACGCGTTGACCGAGCGAAAGGGTGGAGGAACGATAATGATAGTATGTACAAAAGAAGCTAACCAAAACATGTGGACACAGAATGTATACCGAAATACAATCTCGAAACCATGCCTCAAACCACGCCGTTTTCGATATGTATATAATCACCAGCATTGAGGCTATGTACCGCCTACAGCAGTCAAAGGACCACTTTATAGATTCATGAATTCGAGTCAATGTCAGCATTAGGCTTCAATTGATGGAATCTGCAGGATCAATCTCCAATTTCAAACCCCTGGTGATAAAATCGAGTGGGCGAAAACATTTGATATAAAGCCATCACGGATGTATTGTTGTCCGCAAGGATCATCGAATGAAAGCAGTTTCGTTGGAGGGTTTTGTCCTTCGCGACGTGTTTGACCACCAGCGACCTGGAATGCTAAACGGATGGGCCCAGCGATACCAGTTCTCCGGACTGTCCCCAAGACATTCTCCCAGCGTAACTGCCCGATAACCTGCCGCATATAGTCTCTCCAGCATGTAAGGAGTAAGGCTGTACACAGTTTGTTGGTGTACATCATGTGCAATAACCAACAAGGGTCTTCTAGATGGTTCAGCCGCATTCAATGCATTATTGAAAATATCCTTGGAGCGTTGTATGAGGCCTGGAGGGGCATTGTTGTAATCATCCGTATCTACATCGAAATAGGTAATATGGTAGCCTAGGTCATTCATGGATTGAACGCAGCCTGACTCGTCCGAGCATTTCGAGTATGGGGGTCTCATGTAAGTTGGGAATCCACCAAAGATATTGCGAAGAGCCATTTCATTCATGATCATTTGGTCACGACGTTGCTCCGCTGAAAGAGATTCAAGATCTTGATGACCCCATGTATGACTAGCAATTTGGTGATTACCGTCAAACATTCGCTGTATCAGGTTCTTCCACGGCAGATTGGGATCATCTATCGGGCCCTTGTTGGAGTTGATACCTGTTACGAAAAAAGTGGCCTTGGCACCGTACGAATCGAGGATGTCAAGAAGATCGCTGGTGTAGATATTTGGGCCATCATCGTACGTCAAAGCGACCGTGTTGGGGACGATGCAACGGTATATCGGATTGTACGCATATGGGACTTCTCCAATTAGGTCACGCGCGACTCCTGCCGTAGTGTCACCTCCTGGGGTTTTCAGTGCATCGCAGCCGTTGCTGTAGTTAATCTGGCAATCTGGAGCTTGGCAGTAGAATTTAGCAGTACCGCAATAGCCTGCAGCCACAGTAAGCAAGACGCAAGACCTACGGTAAGCAAATGACAGTAGAGTTCCAATACGAAGAAGCATACCTGATGGTGAACAGCAGTAACTATCATCACAGGATTGAAAATCAGGTCCGCACCTCTCAGTAGCAGCAACAGCAGCGGCAGCACGTTTTCTTAATGCCGAAGCCGGAGGCTGGTTCCGCCCACCAAATCCTGGCGCGGGCATTGGGTTTGGGGGTAGGTCTAGCGGGAAATTAGGGATTACTCCTTTGGACTTCTCAGAATCCGGAGTGTCCTCCTGGCCATGAACGGCAGCGGAAGCGAGAATAGCATGGCTGAGATAGAGAGCCCACATCCAGGGGCGAGAAAGCATGGCGGCGACAGTGACGGGGTCTGGGACGCCCGTGAAATTCAACAAAATAAAGATGAGTGAATATACCAAAATACGTATACAGGATTGAACCGGACACTGGTATACGAAACTGAACCGCTTAAATAATCGGCGAAAAGCATAAAAACGAGAGCCGAATCAACAAACGAAGACCCCTTTTTTGGAACCGGGCAGCAGAGCGCAGCGGGAAGGAGACACCGCCGCAGAGCTCCGGCAAAACGCTACGAGCATTGCCGGGGAAACCGGGACCGGCAAGGTTATATATATATATATATATATCGTCCTTTCCATTCACTGAGGGGGGCTCAAAATGCCGAGCCCACGGAGCAGAATATCAACAGCCACAGGAAGCTGCAATGGGGACTGGAGGTCGCTTGCCGGCTGTATTAATAATGATAGCAAGAAAGTCAACAAGAGCGACGCGATATCGTGTTTTGGTGGGCTCTCAGCATAAGCATTTGTATTGTTGGCAAAATGCTCCGAGAGGCCAGAGCGAAGGTTATGTATGACCAATGACAGAGAGAAACCCAATAGTTAGGTGGCACGCCACGCCACGGCACGGTTGCATAACTAAGAGGCTTAAGAATTTCTTGACAAAACAGCTTCGGCATAAGTTGGTGTTATTGAGAACTCGAAATGGAGGCAAACGAGTTGACCGTTTAACATATATCCAAATACCCCAACATTATACTGAAAACGGAAATGTGATGGGTAACATCAACAGGTTGTAGAAAAATTATAGCTGGAACCTGCTGCAGTAGTTAGCTCAAATCTCAAATTTAGGAGGGATTGAGAGACTTATAAAAAAAAAAAGACCAAGGCCGTTCCCCAATTTATGTAGGGAACGGCAGGGAACTTCCAACAGCGCAAACCACTGAAGAAATCGTCGCTCATGTTGCTTCTCATAGTCCAGAGTTCTCCTTACCCCCCGGCCGCCGCCCAATCACATAACGCAGAACATCCTCATAAACGCCATGACCACAACAGACACCTCGTCCCTCACCCCTATTGGAACCAACATTCCAGCACTAATGCCTGGTACCAAGATGGGAATAGAAGATGCAAAAGGAGAGTGGGCGTGCAACAGTTACAGACAAGCCTAAGCTTTGATCCTCACTCTAGAGAGGTCCCGACCTGGTGCACGTTCCAAAGCCAACTTGTATCCTCTCCCATTATCGTAGAGCAGGAATTAGGTTGAGATGATTTCGAAACCAATGGAAAAGGCTAAAGACTTGTTGAGGCGCAAATTGCAAGGTCACAACTGGAGAATTGGTTGCGTCGAAATGATCAAATCTTTTTAAGGGTGCAGTCGTAAAGTATGAGTTGTCTACACTTGTCTGCAACACAGCTCGAATCCCTAAACACATGGCAAAGGTGTTTATGAAGTTCCGTATTAAAGAAGCTCCTTTCGTCTTTGTCTTACATGCAACAGTATTATTACCACCATGCTGTTCCTTCACCATCGCCATCCGCCCTTCTGCATTTGCTTTTCTCGATTCTTGTATCCCTGCAAACACAAGGATCCATGCCCCAAAACACTCGACGTTCAAACCCCCGATTTCGTTCTGAGACCGGGACTGAGCCTCTCTTGTGTGTGATACAGTAGCCTCAGAGACTAGTTTTTGTTTCCTCTCCAAACTGCTGGACCGAAATTAAAGTCGGGAGTCGGAGGGCGTTTGAAAGCGGACAAAAGACATCCTCAAAAACCGCTTTTTCCTCCCTTCGCGATGAGCGATAGTAGAGAATCTGAGCACTATTGGAGAAACTCCGCAAGGACCCAGTGTGTCGGTGCTCACTCAGAGCTGTAAGCTAAACTCACAGGGAGATGACTAACGCGGCGGATCGGGACGCTTGGAACCAAGCTAACACCTTTGAATGGTATCGCGGTGCAAGGCCAGTGCGCAATGTTTCAATAGTCGGGAAATGGGGTGGATGGTAGGGGTCTAAAGGCCAATAAGGCTCTTTTCGGAGGTTCGAGACACATACGGGACAGCCGACCGTGGAATGCGAAAAATGAGACAAAGTTATGCCAAAGTCCATGACTAAATAATGAGAATAACTTCATGTCTTCAGATAATACAATTTCCAAGAATATCACCGCTGTGGACGCAAACGAATGCAACCGGAACAAGACAACAAGCACAAAATCTTAACGGCAATGCGGCAACGCTACCAGTTAAGCGGCCACACATCTGCTTGAAGTATTGTTGACCTTGCTACGAACCATGTGAATCTGCACAGGAGACAGACAGCATGGAACGATTCCGGCAAGTGGATCCGCAAAAACGACTTGCAAATGTATTCGAGGTGGCAGGTGTGTAGGCAACCATCCTTATGACAGATGGATTTGTTGCGTTCAAAGCTGAATGCTTTCCCACCAAACGGCAAGATCATCTTGGTACGTCGTTCAGTCTGGCTAAACAGCTGACAATATTTAACAACGACAAAGACGGTCCAACGGTTTTATAGCTCCCAACGACAATTCCCAAAAGTGAGATTGCCCGATATGTCTCACCAACCATCTCCCATTCTGCTCCAAAAAATGGACAAGCATCAAACTGACCATCCCTTCAGCGATCCAAGCATGTAAGTCCAGCAGATAAACTGACGCGTGTTCCTTTTTGGACACTTTAAAACGCATAGTAAATCTCTTTTAAGGGTTCTGGACACCAAACACCCTTTCGACCATTTGAGACCGGTAAAAGAATCAAACGGGCTAATCAGATATTTGGTAACTGTTAACCGCGAAGCTAAAGTCCTTAAAGAAGGACAACCGACGAGGTGACGTAGGGTTAAGTTCCAATATCCACCCAACCCGCTATTCGACGTCCTCGCGAGGCTAGCAAGCTAATGACGCGACAAGATAGTGAGGGGCCTTGGGCGCGTGAGATGGTTATTGGATAACTATGGGGAGGCCGGGCTGTATATATATATCGCCTATAAATAGGCAAGAGAGTGGTGAACGAGGAGTGCCCCTGAGAACGGACATGAGCTGATCAAGGTGTATTAAGGGAAAGGCATGAATCGAGGTCAAAGCAAAAGCGTCCGAAGAGTAGAACCAGAGCAATGAGAAATAATCAACACCAATGGCAACAAATTGTGCTGGCTGGAAGATTCAAGACGAGTTGAAAGTCAACAGAAACATTGCATGTTGCCATTCATGAAGGAGTTGAAGTTCTCTTTAATTTATGCACGCATATTTGGCTTGTCACTAAATATCACGTGACGTAACTAGTTTATCATTACATAAATCATACCAGGCGGGCGTTCACGTATCAGCGACGTCACCGTCTGAATTTAACTGAACCGGCACTTTGAAAAAATTAATGCCGCGAAAGTATTGGTGAGGGAGAGTTTTGAAAAATGGGCAGTTCTGAACAGCTCATAAAGGTGTTTGGCGAGACTTATGAGTTCCTCAATCCGGTCTTAAAAAGAGGCACGCAACCTTAACTTCCTTCTAGTTTACACTTAAGCTAACCCTAGGTATCAAAGAGGAGATCCAGAAATCTCGCGGCGACTCTCTCGTTCAAACTCTTTCGCGACAACTCTCAGTTCAAAACCAAGGGGCTGAAAGCTCCAGGTTACATGTAATCCAGCGGGCACTGGATCTTCTTGTCGCGATCCACAATGCTTTTGTTGACTCAAGCCTGGGTATTGACATTGACTATTCCAAGGGAAACGGGCGGAGAGAAGACCCGGTTCTTGAAGATACAAAACGGCGACGGGTGATCCATGGATTGCTTGATCTTGTTTCCCTTGAGGGAATATACCCTGCGCTATCAAGTGGGGTTGGGATCCCACTTGAGCAACGGGTAATGTCCGCTCTGCCAACCGGCGTTGTTGCAAGACAACCAGATCCGACCTCCGGGAACAAGGCACATGATGAGAGACTATTACGCCTTATAATAGATAATTTAAGGCCCATTATTTGTGATAAACGCTCTGGCATCCAGTCAATAATTCTGGGAAGAATACTAGTAGACATACTGTGTGCCACTGCAGAACTCGCATTTCATTCACAGTATCTTTCCCAGGACGATATCAACGTATACGCTAAGCTATTTCAAACGATTATTGATGGGTGAGTTACTCGTATATTTCTTTCTTATATTCGCTGACTACGAATTTCCAGAACCCCTACACCATCCTTGCTACCCCTTCTCTCCACGTTCATCCAAAAAAGTTCTTCAGCATGGTTCAAAACCAGAATATTCAGCCAGTTGTCGCAGATTCTCCTCCGCAGGGATGGCGTGTTCCAAACAGTTATTTTTATTGCCTCTCAGTTTGCCCCGGCTTTAGGGCAAAACGTGGAAACATCGCCCTCCAATGGCCCTCCAATTACTGTGCAGGCCATCATGCAGACGTCTCGTTTGCTATCTTCTGTTCCTCAAACAGTTCCGGCTGACGACTATTTTTGTAATATCTCTCCAAAATTGCTAGCTCTTTTAGATAGTGATGAATCAGGACTTCAGAAAACAGCCTCTTATGTGATTGGCAGTGGAATACTCGGAAAGCAGTCATATGGGGCGCCAGGTGCGATAGGATATAGAATATTTGTGAAACCCATCTTCGACTCACTTCACGGTAATCCGACAGGGGAAGTTGCTTCGTGGCTGAAGCCGTTTTCTTTAGACGGCACCCTCTTGAACGAGAGCTCACTGGATAACCTCGAGGGTGTAATCCTCATAGATGAACCGAAATTGCTTCTATCCCTTAATAGGCTGAGCGCTCTGGTTTTATTGCACCCAAACCCGGGTCTTTTAAAACGCCTGATTCAACCTGTCTTACTGCCTCTCTGGGCGCTGAAGTGCTATGCCAAAGAGCATCAAAGATCATTCTGGTATGACAAGGTTTCCACTCTGCTGAAAACCTTTTTTAGTGTATCGACTGGAATAGGGAGATATAAGAAACTGGCCGATCATATCCTATGGGATGGGGGAAATACCTGGACCTATGGTCCAGGTCAAGAAGGCGGGATTTCTGTCAGGAAACGTACAGATCCCGGGATTCAGGAGCAATTTAACCCAATGCAGCTCATATCCCTCTTAGATGGCCGCATTGATGGCATTTTAGAGCTGCTTTCCAGTGATCCTCAAAGTGAGGAGCTTGTAGGAGACATGTTTCTTTATGTTAGCCAGGTGTGGCTACTAGGGCCTCCAGAACAACCTGATCATAAACAGCAGGAAATTCTACGGGCCGGTAAAGATTTACAATCCACGTTGCAAAAGCTTACAAGTGCCAAGTTTACGGAGAAATTACTGGATAAATTCAAGGACAGTCTATCCCGACACCCTGACAAGATACTGGGTATAATTGAGCAGCTTATACGAAGCGGAATCACGTCGAGGGTGAGTCAAGACGAAGGGAAACAGAAAACTGCATCGTCCCGATACTTGGGGAATATGGTTGAAAGCGGCCGTGAGGACATTGAGCAGGATAACCCCGAGGAATCAGAGTCATTGTCAGCTGCATTCAGTCTTCTTTCCACCATCCTCACCTCCCCCGATTTTTCGTTGTCAGAAACATTATCCCCGGTCGTTCGAAGGATAAAAGCCCAGCTAGGCAAGCTGCTACCAAAACTCCCGCGCTCTCTTGTTCAGCCCGCAACTACCGCATCGATGCTCCTTGAAATCACCCTTACCTCTTCATTATCTGCGGGAGAGAAATCGGAGACAGTTTCTTCGCGGATATCTGACCTCGAAATTCATCGCCAAGTTCTCGAGCATCTCTCATCTCCATTACCCCCCATAAAGGCTGAGGGTCTTGCCCTTCTCTCTCGCTTGATCACCGAATCATCCCCTGTTCTCGATATACCTGCAACACTTACTCTTCTACTTTCTCTAATAACTAATTCAAATTCCGAATCTTCTTCAAACGACGAATTCATTTATATAAATGTCATTAAAATTATCGGAATGCTTGCATCAAAGCACCCACGGACCGTAGTCAAAACTTTGACAGAGCGCTATGCAGATAGAGGCGAAGAGTATACCCTGGACCAACGGTTAAGGATTGGTGAGGCGTTGTTGCGGACTGTTCAGGAACTGGGCGGCGCTTTGGTTGAAGATACCGCCAAATTACTTGGCGAAACTATGATTGCGGTAGCTGGGCGACGAGGTAGGAAGCCATTTGCAAAGAGGGTTAGGGAGGAAATATTAGAAAATGAATTAAAGAAGAGGACGGGAGGAGGTGAAGAAGACATATTAGATCATGAAGCCGCGGACCTAATGCAGCAGATAGACGAAGTGATGGACTCAGACACTGAAGACCCAGCGCGCATTGCCTATTCAGTCAATATAGTTAATGCCTGGGCCGCTGGTGCCGCATCTGACCTGGAACCCGATGACCTTCGTGTCCGCGCATCCGCTATGTCCATCTTAGCGTCAGCTATCCAAACGAATATCGCAGGCCTTGGACCCTCCATCTCATCTTCTTCGATTGACCTGGCCATATCAACCCTAAATCTTGAACGTGGCCAGGAAAGCGCCATCTTGCGACGAGCTGCCGTTGTCTTACTTCTTGATCTCGTCAAAGCGCTCGACATGGCAAGGGAAAACGGAGTTAACCTCGGTTTTGGATTCTCCTATATTGAACACTCCCCAGATTCCAACGGTCAGCGAGGACATCCAAATGAGGGATCCATTGGGAATATTCCCGATATGCTGCGCGTCCTAACATTCGTGGAGAGCAACGAAACAGACCCTATCGTGCGTGGGCACATACGAGTTCTCATAGAGAGTCTGGAGGCATGGCTTGAAAAATCATTGTTGTGGGGTGTAAGGTCCTGCGAGGGAGTTGGGGAACCCAGGTTCGAGCTAGGAGATCAACTGGCTGGGTTGGATATTCATCCACATCTTGATAGTAGTGGTGCTGGTCAGCCGTTGGTAGGGGGGCCACGGATAGAGGAAATTGAATAGCCTTCCATCTTAGATCTTGAGCAGCTGTGCATGTCCTGGTATGTTGAATTTTTGCAACCTCAAACGCACCACCTGCGGATGATTTGGCTCTTTACTTTTTATTCTCCGTTGCATCTTTGTTTGCCGTACACAGCAAATGTAAACCCACCAGTTTCAATGTGCATCATAATTTCTTCGCATGGTTCTAGCAAGTGACATGTAGCATTATTCGGAGATTTGACCAGGTTCCCATAGGAACCTCCGGGGCATGAGGAGGGAGCAGAAAAACGTCCCCAATAGCTCTTCTGGACAGAGCTTGAATAGAACATACTTTACCAAGTAGACAATTTTCCTCTTTGAATAACCCTGTGTTTAATGATACAAGGGTAAACGCCTCACTCCCCACTGCCATCCCCTAATTTCATCACCAGAGAAAGAGAGGAACAAATGAAGTGGAAAAGAGGTAACAAGACATGAAGCTTAGACAACACTCATCCCGCAGCCACCATACTCTCAACTACGTCCACCAAATCCCCCACGTCCTTCTCTCCCTCTTTTCCCGCGGCCTCCATTGCCTTGCCAGCGGCCACCCTCATTCCGAGAGCCCCGCCCCCCTCCTCTCCCCTTCCCTTTCCCAAAACGTCCATATTGCGGCCGGAACCGTCTCTCCTCTTCCGGGAGTGGACCAGCATCAATACGAGCACGACGTTCCTTATCACTGATATGGAACTTATTTTCAATCCCAAGGAGTTTGCAGAACTCTGCTGTTTGTGGGTTTGTGTATTCTGGTGGCATCTCGTTCGTCGTGATCGGTACAGCAGGGTCATAGACGGGCGCCGTGATGGAGAAGTTATGCGGAACGACCATTTTGCCCCGTTTCACGATGTTCTCTTCAACCCATTCTTCAGCAGAGAGGATTTCCGGCTTGTAGCGGGCATCACCTTTATTTGGTGGGATTGACACGCTGGGGTCGCCAAGTGTAAGATCGTCAGCAAAGGCTCGAGTGATGGCGAGCCACTCTTTGTCATATTTCAACTGGTACGGGCGGCTCTCTTCTCCTCCAGCACCTCCATCCGGTAGCGATATCGTAGGATACTCAATGAGCTGTATAAATTTCCTTTTTCCCTCGCATTTATCCAGGGCAATGAAATTGGTTTCTGTATTTTTGATGGTTTCTGGCAGTTTAGGGTCGAAAATTGGCAACTGATCTGGTGGAAGAGATGACATCTGGTTCGGCTTCCGAAAACTTGCTGGTAGCTGATCGCGAACATCGGTAGGCACCTCGTCTGATTGTGCCGCCTCGCCTACATTGTCAGGGGCCAAAGTGGAAGATATGTTTTCTGCTTCCACCCTCTGTGGTGAGCTATCACAATTAGTTTCCATTTCATCGGCAATATTGGGCATAGACTTCTTAGAGTCCATAGTTCCGGACTTTTCTGAAGTTTCCGATGAGGTGTCAAGATCAATATCAATTTCATCGGTATTTTTCACTCCAGGCGTTTCCACAGCTCCCTTTTGCTGCGCAGCTTCATCACGAATTGATGGTTGCTCCTTATCGAAGCCCACTTTGGTAATGTCCTGGATCTCGCGTTTTAGACCACTGTCTACAACTCCGACACTTTTCCAGGTAAATTGGCAATTTACCTCTGGTCTACTTATCAGACTAGCCTCGATCTGTCTCTCATGTTCTGTTGCCTCTTGCATCAGGCGAGCCTCATCCTCCGCATCTTGTTTCGATGCAACTGTGTGAAAGTATTGCGAGGCCGATAATTGTGCTGAACCAAACGGGGTAGGGGGTTCTTTGGTTGTAGACGGCGAAACGACGACATCATCTCCCAATGGCGTCATTTGAGATTCACGATTTGGGCCAAGCCTATCACTCAACACGGGGGGCTTATAATCACCATGCACCAAACGAGCCGTGTATTTGCAATGGAGGTGGGCGGAAAACCAGTGCGGAGGTCGCAGGCGATCCAAAACATATCTCGCTGCAACACTGCCTAATTTTCCTGCTTGAGCATCCGCTTCAAATAGGGGTTTCATTTTAAAAAGTTTTTTGAAGTTGCCGTGCCATTCGATACCCTGCGGCCAGTCATGGCTTAGACCAAGATCGACTTGGGTTCGAATTTGCAAAAGCTTGCGAACATCCAATTCCCTAACATGGTAGATGCTTTGTTTGTCATCGCGATTATAAGGAAGTCTTTCGAAATGGGGTTTCCGATAATCATATCCTTTCCAGATCCCAGAGATACCGGCTATTCTAAGGGGCCCACAGCGGATAACATTTGCAGCTCCCAGATAATAAATATTAGGGGCTACCCAGCCACCGTAGTACAACTCGAACAGGTGGTTGCTAGCTTCATGATTTCCTCCCACAAAAATGGTCAAATATGGCGCGACACGGGAACCACTGTAGTATTCATGGAAATCCCCGATTTTCTTGTATTTCTGCGGGACTGACATGCAGCTTAAATCGTATGAATTGCGGACCGCCTATACCAGAATGTAAGATAAAGAATGTTTACATGTGTTTGCAAATCAAAGGAATAAGAACTGGCCTGAAAGTCTCCACCAATGATAAGAAGATCCACACCATTCCATCCCTTGAGTTTTGCTGCTTTGTTTACTGAGGCATAGATATCATGGAGTTTACCATGCCCCTGATGGCTGTTAGCATTGGGTTCTCATAACATCAAATCATCAATATGCAGCCAATAAGGCAGAAGGGAAACCCTACACAGCCTTCCAGAGCCACTCTCAGGCTCTGAGACGCATTACTGCTCTGCATCCTGAGCAGTCTTAAATGTTGATATCTGTTCTTTGTGGTGCCCAGTTGAGGTCGTGAACCTGTAAACCTATACAAATGTGAAGAAATGGCCATGTGCTGTGAAAAGAAAAAAGTACAGGATGAAGCTGAGAGGATTGACATTTATAGCCAGAGGTCCTTTAGATTCCTTTGTTATGGAGGACGCATTGCTATGGGTGTTACTAATAAGGGGTTGTTGAGGATGTAAAGATTTAGAGGGATCCTGACTGCAGGGATTTTTCACTTTCTGCAGCGGTGGCTTTTTCAGTGAGAAACAACTTAACTAGTTATTTAACGTTAAAATCGCTTCATCTTAACATTGTCAATAATCAAAACATTTTGACTGATAGGGCCTTTCTCTCGTTATATTTTAATATTAAAAAACTATCACCTCCAATAGTGTGCTACATTTCATCTAACATGGCTTCATCCGTATCTGCCACACAGCTGAAATTTCTGAAAAACTCCGCGCATTATCTCGCCGCCCAGAGTCGTTCCACCTCCTCTCATCTTCTATCAGTTCACAACCAGCTGCTCCGCGATAAATCGAAGCGGTTGTCTATCACAAATCACCGAGAATTCTGCGGTGCCTGCGGGAGCATCAGGACATCCCATTCTTCAAAAACTATCAGTATCAACAAAAATGGAGTGAAAAAGAATCTCAAGGGAAATCGTTCTCCGAAACAGACACTTTCAATTGACCCTCCCCTCGGAGTGATATACAAGTGTCTACGATGCCATCGCCGGAAATTTCAACGCCTACAGAGTACTACCAAACATACAGAATCTAAAAAACAACGTCTAGGAGCAATTGCGTTCGCAACGGAGATATCCTCTTCAGCTGGGAGCCTCACAGTCGCGGAGCAGACCACGCAATCACCAGCCGCCACCACGTTACAGAAATCCACAGAGAACCTCAGCAGCAAGAAGAGAACCAAAGCACGCAAGAAACAAGACCTAGCGGCAGCCCTCGCAACAAGAAAACAGCGTGCGCAGTCCCAAACCGTGTCGTCGTCGTCGGCGCTGGCTCTGCTCGACTTTCTCAAGCAGTGATTGTCCGGAGTGTGGCTTATCCGACCCGAACCCAGAACGGTTTAGCGCGGGGTATGGTTGGTCTAAGCCCAGTTGGGTTTAGCGTCATCACCACCACGTTCTTAATTTTCATGGTTTTTCGACTCCAGGAGAAAACAAACCAGTTTTGCGTTTGATATAGCCGCAGATTTAGCCAGTTAACTACCAGACATCTCTATTACACCAGGGAAGAGGGGAATTGTGATCTAATATCCATACATTTGTTGATCATTTTATAAGTTGATATTGCGTCGCACCTAAATCAGAACAACCGCCAGCTACGAAATAAGGAGGAAACGAAAGCCCGGCAACCTTTTCCCTCAATATTCCTTGATCTTCCCGCTTTCAATTTTTATAAATATTGCTGCCAGCAACGAGATCGAAGAAGCTCCAGCCTCCCAGACCATCCCTACACCGAATACAGAGAGCAAACAATCAGAAAAAAAATTCCGAACGTCCAGATGAGAAATATGGACCTCAACGATGCTGCTCAGAAGCAGGAGGCCGGTAAGGATGAGAAGGGGAGTCACAACAAGATCCAAACAGATGACGATACGGGGCTTATGCAGTTGGAGAGTATGTGTATGAACTGCCAGCAAACTGTATGTTTGCCTCCTTTCTGTCAAGCCTAGCTAAGCCTTGTTTAATTTGGTTTCCATAATCTAGGGAACTACGAAACTACTATTGCTTAAAATTCCCTTTTTCCGCGACGTTCTTTTAGAATCTTTCGAGTGTCCCCACTGTTTCTTCAAAAACAACTCCATTAAATCTGCAGGCGAGATCCAAGAGCATGGCACTAAGTATACACTTGAGGTAACAGACAAGAGCGATTTCGAACGTCAAGTTGTCAAGGGTGACAGCTCAGTATTCCGGCTGGAAACTCTGGGTATTGAAATGCCAAAGGAGTCAGGGCAATTGACAAATATTGAAGGAATCCTGACCAAAATTCTATCGCAGTTGGAAGCTGAACAACCGAGTCGCAAGGTGGTTGATCCAGAGTTATACAAGGCACTTGATGGCATCATTGGGAAGCTAAAACTGATGATTGAGGGGGAATCCTTCCCGTTCACCGTTTCCCTCGATGACCCTACGGGCAATTCATGGATTGCGCCAGCCCCACATGACGAAGGAAGCAAATACAGGCGCAAAGGCTATCCCCGAACTCGAGAGCAAAATGAGGAGCTTGGGCTTTCCGCGGAAGAGGAAAAGAAGCCAGATGCGAATGCCAACATGGCCATGTCCTCATCCGCAGGTGATCCCGAAGATCTTGATATCATTGACGGACAAGTTTATACCCTGCCCTCCGAATGTCCCGGATGCAGCAAGGTCTGTGCGGTCAACATGCAGAAAGTTGACATCCCGCATTTCAAGGAGGTGTTCATCTGGAGCACCGTCTGCGATCACTGCGGATACCGCACCAACGAAGTGAAAACAGGCGGTGCCGTCCCCGAAAAGGGACGAAGAGTCACTCTCGAAGTAGCCACGATCGAAGACCTGTCCCGCGACATCTTAAAGTCAGACACCTGCGCCCTGTCAAGCAGCGAGCTCGACCTCTCCGTCCAGCCAGGCACGTTGGGAGGCAGATTCACAACAGTTGAAGGTCTTCTGACCGAAGTTCGCGACCAGCTACACGGACAGATTTTCGAGATGGGAGATGAGGACATCAAACCTGGTGACTCCATGCAAGCAGACGACAAGGCGCTTTGGGATCTGTTCTTTGCACGACTCAATTCCGCCATCAGGGGTGATTTGAAGTTTACGATCACGCTGGAGGATCCGCTGGCTAATAGCTATGTGCAAAACCTCTATTCGCCAGAGCCAGACCCGCGACTTAAGATTGAAGATTACAAGCGCACGGATGAAGAGGAGGATGAATTGGGTTTGAAGGATATGAAAACTGAGGGCTACGGGGAGGATAGTGAAGCTATAGTCGACGCTCCGTCGGCTGAGAAGGAACAGAAATCATAACAATTTTTGATATTTTGCTTCATTTTCTTTTGTTTAAAAATGGAAAAAGAATATAAGTTTGCTATCAAGTTGACCCTCTACGAAAGCGATGGATATGGACGATATGGCGACACGATATTTGCTTCTTCAGTTTTTCTATGAACTTGCATAGGTGACTCTATTTACTCACCATCTCCCCTGGACCTTATGAGCCTCTTAAAACAGCTTACCCCCGTTCATCTACAAAAAACACATTCTTGTCTACTGGGAAAGGAAATAAAACCGATCTTTTTACCACTAGCACCATGTTGGCTCCGCGTGAATTTTTTTTTCCCCTCGTAAAATTTAGAAATAAATAGAATAGCTCCCATGAAGCAAGGACATTCCAACTTCACTGCACAGGTTACTTGGTTTATTTCTTTGTATCTGCATATACTGGCTTCCTGACCGCCAGCTGTGTCAAATATTGTAGCTAGTAAACAGCCACGGCACCTCTCACTCCATTCAAAGTACCAGTCATCTCTCTCTCCGTTGTTTGGGCAGGTTATTCTCCTGATGTATTCGGTCAATGGACTCAACCCAGGTGCTCCGGGTCAAAAGTGCCCATCCCTCCTCGTTATTCCGTTCTTATTAACCCGAACCGAGTCGAGTTAAGTCGTCGCAGATCATGCCTCCTCGAAATCTGCGCACGATTGGGTTTATCGTATGGGCTGCCTGCGATCGTATAGTGTCCATATCATGGTTTTGCGCTTTGCATCTCCTGTATTTAAAAGCTAGAAGGTTAACACTTCATCCCTCGGGAACACGAAAATAGGGAACACGAAAATAACACATATATATAAGGATATTCATACATCAAACATGTCCAATCCGGCCAAACAATATTCCGTACTCAACTCCCCGCCCAACATAAAATCAACCCATCACACCGCAAACGGATTCGCATGGATCGTCACCCTCTCAATCCCCACAGCCTCCCACCCGTTCTCCTTCACCTCCTGCTCCGACAACGAAGCAGGCTGCACAACCCTCCCCTTCTTATCAATCTTCACCTTAGCTTTCTCCAACCTCTCCAGCACCACCCCGCCTGGCTCCCCCTCCCCGGCAGCCAACACTTTACCAAACACGGTACTCTTCCCATCCAGATGAGGCGCCGGCGCAAACGTAATGAAGAACTGGCTCCCATTCACTTCCGTCGTCTCCACAGCTCCAGAGGCAGATTGGGTCTTTAGCGATTTGCTAGCCATGCTTAGCATGCCGCGGGTATTGTGGCGGATGGTGGGGAGGTGGATTTCATGGGCGAGAGGGGCGGGATGGTAGATTGATGTGCCACCCTTGGGGATCTCGAAGGGGAGGGGGGAGGCTGGTTTGTCTGTTTTGGAGAGGGAGATGTCGCCGCCCTGGATCATGAAGGTGGGGATTAAGCGGTGGAAGGGGGTGTTGTTGTATGCGCCTGCAGCGCAGAGGGCGAGGAAGTTCTAAAGATTATCAGCTTCGGTTGGCATGGTGAGCGAGAGAGAGAGGGAGCGCTCAAGATTGGCTATCTTGGGGGGGAGGGTACATACCTCTGCAGTCTTTGGTGTTGCTTCGTGGAATACTTCTACTTTGAGATCGCCATGGGTGGTATGGAGCTGGTTGACAGGGAATATGTCAAGCAGTGGTCAAGAAGAGATGCGGGGAAAACGGGTGGTTTCTAGACCAATTGATGGGTTTGTTAATGGCTTACCGTTACTGACATCCTGGCCAAAACCCCCTTATCAACTGCATTCGATAGGCTGGTGAGGATCGTATAAGTCTGCGACTTGTTCGAGTTACTCCACTGATATAGTGAGGGACGTTTGGGGGTAAATCTCTCAAGATGAGTCTGGCAGAAGCTATTCCTATTTCGGCATAGCGGCGGGGGTTCTTAGGCGGTTGGAATATAACTATACAACAACGACTTAACCAAAGGCAACAGATGGATAAAAACTCCATACGGATTTAGACTAATAGGCAAGACGAGGGGAGAAAGGCAGATACCTAATCGCTAGATAGGATCTTTCCCAGTAAATCATAATTCATCGCGATTCAAGTAGATTGGGCAGCCTAATTCCCTTTCAGACAACATTTTCTATGGTAGGCATGCATATATTTATGACAACAAGAAATAAATAAATCATGGTTTAGAATCCGTAACATCATGCTATCCAGAATCCCACCTATTCTACGGAGAATGGCAATCAATTTGCCCACACAACTCATATCTAAAACGGATGTGGCATTCAGCCTCATTTCAAAGCAACGGTTGTACAGTTATTGTCCTGTACGGGGATGTAGAACATAGCGGAGCGCACCCATTTCCCAAGCACAGAGCGTAAGTCATTAAATTATGTATGACTAAAAAAGAGCTGATTTAGCAGCAGAGCAGTTCGATTAAGGAAGAGCGGATCTTCCCTTAGCACACGTTCTGTTTCAACGGGTATTCCGCAAGTGAAGCATGCAGGTAGGTATCGATTTCGGTTCCGAGGCACTATGTATGTACATACATCTGTGTGCTACATTGGCTCGATCGGTGTAGATGGAAGGCGGTGGAATAATTTTGTAATTCTGTGGTGTTAGACACTCATTGCCGATCCTGCTGGAAACGGGGATGATGAGGAACTACTGCAGATATAACTAACGTAGCTGAATCCAGAGATAATTCGTGCCGGATTAGTTCTGCTGACGCCTTGTTAGATACTCCCTCCCGTTGTTGGAATGGCAGTGAGCTCCTCCACCAAAGTCTTCCGGAGACAATAGAAAGAGCGCATCTAAAGTATCCTGTCCCTAATTTTTTTTTTTTTTTTTTTTTTTTTTCTTGTTTGCGTCTTTCCTGGTCAATTGGTAATCCGTGGAGGTCCGTGGAGGCATCCCATAGTTTAAAGGCCAGGTGGCTGCAATGGCTACCCGTTATGCCATAGTTGACCCCTTAAATATGAACTCTCCTTGTTGAAGCTTATTTTGTTTCAACTCGAGGGAATATCTATGCGGTATATGGAGGCAGTGACCATAAACTCTCAACCCAGTGAACCTGATGATCACGACATACCATCCCAATCTTGGTATATACATTTTCAAAGCGCGGAGTTAAAACGCTGGGAATTCCAGGATTAATAATGACACCAACATACCCAGAGTTTCCATCATCCAGCAAGGCGATGATAAATACGTGGTGTTGGTGGATGGGTAATCGGACAATTGCAAATTGATGATTTCATTTGAGCAGACCGTATTTTCCTTTCGATTCCGCATGATCCTCCATAGCGCGAGTGTCCTGGCAAAGAAATTTGTGGGTCCCGTCAGGCCCAAGGCAGCAAGTGACAGGACATACAATCCCTGGTTCTGGCTCGCGTGTTGGCCAGAAGTTTTGAATGCGAGAGGTAAGAGAAAAGTTTAACCTTAAAAAAAACCCCTTCTGGTTCCGCTGCTTTCCGAGTCAGATATGGGATTCTCAACTTCTTTGCAGACCAGGTGGTTAACTTTGGAAGTGTCAATGACTATTGGAGTCATATGAAGGATGGGGTTTGTCACGACTGGATTTTATTTAAAGTGGATGCTGGACAGGCCGTTCCTGTAACTTATGCAGTGCAGTTAGTTGCGTTTGTTTGGGGTGGTTTAGAGTAACTAATTACTGGCCGAAGATGCGATTAACTCGTGAGCCCCGCCAGAAGCGGGAAGGAAACGTTCCCCGTCCTCCGCCCTCTAGGCATGGCTGTTAATTCATTCAGAATCATAGGGCAACTTTGTTGAATATCTCTTTTGAACTGAACATCCAATTTCCGTGGGTTTAATCTTTGTGATGGTAAAGTCGGTGCTGTTACGGTACACACAACGTATCCGTGCGCCGATGTTATGTACCGGGTACGGGCCGAGAGTCTCAACTTGACTCTGGGGTCGCCCCTGCCAAGACCCGATCCTGGGTACCAAGTACCTGGCAGCCTGTATTGATACAGCAATCATACAGTCAAATACATACGGAACAAACATGAATAACGGACAAACTCTTCCACATCAAAAACCAGCAATTTTAAGGACTCAGTGGTCGTTGTTGTTGTTGTTGTTTTCGTTGTTGTTGTTGTTGTCGTTTGTTGTTGGTGTTTGGCTGAGGGGGTGATTGGAATTCATAGATTGGGTGAAAACGGGGCAGGCTGCCCTTCTTCAAGCCCTTCCACCCACTAATCGTCAGACTCGCTGTGTGTTTAGTTCTGTGCCACTCTCTTCTTCCTTTTCTTCCTCTTCTCTTCTTCTTCTTCCACTTACCAGCAATAAAATAATAACTGCTCCGCACATTGCTGCGGGTGGTCTGTTGCCAACCGTCTAGACGCTTTACCGGACTTTTGTCTCAAGCTTCTCCAGGCTCCCATGGTAACTTAAGCCCCTCTCAATCCGCCGTCAAATTGACTGGTCCTGTCAAATGTGGACCCGCCCAGCCAGCAATAAATAAAATAATAGGCGTGCCAGTCAGCTAACCAACCTGGAACTCCGTTTGTCGGCTGCGCTTCTCGTCCCGTCGTCACCATCACGGTTAGTGTCAGCCACCACTGCGGTTGCACCGTGTTCCAGGCGGAGGCCGTGTTTTCCTCCAACCAACCCCTACCTAACCCACCACCGCCTCTCCACCATCAACTCCAAGCCAACCCCATCTCCTGGCCACCGGAATCTTCTTGTCTTTCTGCTCTACCTAATCTCCCAGTTGACATCCCACACACGCCCTCTGTTCTGGTCCTTCTAAGCGCCGTGCCGCGATTCATCACATATCCCCCTCCTCCTCCCCTGCGACCAGGAGCCAGTACCCGCCAAGCCAGCGGATGGTGGGAGAAGACCGGGCGCATATTCCTTCTCGATCCTCGATCGCCCATACGCTAACTCTAAGCTAACCGCAATCAACGATCTCTGCACCCGCCGCAGAACATCCCGAACCCCCTTCCCGCTCCCCGATTCACTTCTTATGGTGAGTTAGGAGGAAGCTCTGGAACAAGATGGCCGTATTCGTCCGTGTGTCGGGCCCCCCCAATGGTAATTTTCTCGTTGGCTACCCCGGCATATCCGCGACCCTGGTATGTTCCCCACCCGCTCCCATGCACGTCACTTAACGCCACAGCCAACTCGCATTTTCCATCCCGGGAAAGCATATTTGTGAGGCCTAGGAAAGCAAGCGCTTGTCTGTAACTTTGCGTCCATTGCTAATCACTTTTTATTCTTTTACACGTTCAGCCGCGCATTGAAGGCAAGGTTGAGATTCGCCCCAGCACCGGTGTTTCCGCTCCAGTCCACGTCTCCATGGTCACAATATGTCTCCAGCGACGAGAAACCATACACCCGTCGGCAGATTCAGTGACAAAAAGACATCTGGCTGCCCCTCGGAAGGAACTAACAGATATTGTGGGGAAGGAGATGCTACTATTTCGATGTGCAATGGGACGTGACCATGAAGAAATCATCGCAATGGACCTCCCTTTCGTGCTTTTCATTCCCTTCGGTCGAGGCGGACAAGAAGCGTCAAGACGACTACCACCAGCAAGTCTACAATTGCCCAGTCGAACAGCAGAGACATACTACGAATTGGTTGTAATGGTACAGCAGGGTCCATCAGACCAGAGGAAATACGCCTTCCCCGTCCCAATCTCTAGATACGATACCCTTTCCACATTTGGCATGTATAATCGGCCCGAGTCATCGGAGAAAGTCACAGACCACCTAGTAAGGCTGGGAATATCCCTCCCACGGTGGTCGTACGGACCCCTGGACCCGATCAGCGTATACGTCAAACTCTCACCCAATCCGGACTGGATAAACAAAGCGCGACGGGTTACAATACAAAAAATCACCATCTCCATCGACGAGGAGATAATCTATAACCACGAAGGCGACGAGCCGCAACGAAAAACCAAAACTCTCACAAAACGAACGGAGAACGTTAATTTGAAGCTGCCGGAGGCGGGATATATCTCAAATCTAGGCCTTGTATTTCCCTCAAGAGATCTAAGAGATTCAGAGGGCATCCTGCCGCGGGGGAAACCAGCGTTCCCGATGTACGCTGTTAGCGGATTTACCACTACTGCGTCCCTATATAGGATTGAATACTACCTAACTGTAAAGGTGCGATATACTATCCTTAACCTTGTTCTTATCTTTCCATAATCAGCCCCATTCAAACCTTCCATTGTGACCCCATCCACTAACATTTCACCAGGCTCACCTAACCTCAGCACGAGACATCGTGCTCCGGCAGCCAATCGTAGTGTGCCCACTCGACCACGCAGGCTGTAAAGAGGAAATGGAAGCCATCGAGCAAGCCGCCCGAGATGCCAGACATATCAACCCCGACAATCCCATGCTGCCACTCCCCACCATCATTCGCGTCCATGACCCGCAAGCCCGGAAGTATCTGGGCATTGCTATTGTTGGCAATGTGAAGAAGCCGGTGATTGATTGAATTGGGCTATTCGTACATACATGCAGCCTGTTCCAGCGCATGTGCGTTTGTTCGCATCACGCAGGAGAAAAACGAACTTGAACGGGAACTCGAAAACGAAATATACACTTCACACCTATCTCCTGCCTATTGACGGTGACATTCTGATCTAATGTTTTAGGTCAATGCCATCACCACCATATATCCATTGTCCATCCATCCACCCGTCCTTCCGGGGTCATGTCGAGTTCTTCTTCCATCCATCCCATAATGGGAACTGAAATAATGCTCATGCATTAAAAATGAACAAATCAAAGAAATATGCAAGGAAGAGAGATTAAAAGTTTATGTGAAAACCGGGGGTGGATCTTAAAAACAACCAAAGAGAAGTTGGAGGATTAGAGATGTTAGGATTAGAAAAGGATATTGGGGGAGAGAAAATGGAAAAGAAGAGAAGAGAAGAGAAAAAAAAGATGGAAACATCCCCAACATGCAGGTGAAGCAAGGTTTGACTGCTTGATTTTGATTTGATTTTTATTTGACTATCTAATCATGATATATGACACATCATCCCGAAATGCTTCTTTTCACTTTTGTTTGACTTCTTTTTGCTTCTCTATTCTATCTCGGCACATCTCATACACCCCGCCTCCCCAAAAGCCGTTCTCATCCCATCTCACAATACATCCCTTCTTAACTTGACCTCGCTGGCCAGCTGGGCTGGCTAGCTGGCTTCTGCACACTCCTAGCCATCATCTTATTCCTGATGCCCGCGCACCCCTTCTTGTCACACCACACCTGTCGGTTTTTGATTCCTCCCTTCTTCGGCCCCTTATCATCCACTATCAACTTCCGCAACAAACGTTGTTATCTACACAAACCCGTTCGCATTTTACGAGGTGCTATTTATGATATGGTACCTGTGGTATATTTTGTCTACGGCTATACGAAACCCCAGGCTCAGGGATTCGGGATTTTTCTGTTTCTTTCTTTTCTTTTCCACCTGGATATGACTTTTTGCTGGCTTTTTCGTTTGTGATTCTTGTTTGCATCTGCCACTAGCATTGGAGTACTCATTGGGGGTTCCATTTTGATTCGATTCATTAGCGTCTTTTTTGTCAAATTTCTGTCTTTGTTATTTTATTTTTGTGATGGATGAAATGATCGAATGGAAACTGGACGCATGAGCAGGAACGGGAGCAGGCGCTTTGATTTGGCTTTTTTTTTTTTTTTTTTTTTTTTTTTTTTTTTTTTCATTTCATTTTATATTCCCCCCTTTAAAAGTGACCCTCTTCTTTTCTTGATTGATTTGTTGACTTCTTTCTCCTCCTCCTCTTCTTTCTTCGTTTCTATTTCTTATTATATCCACTTCTAAGCAGCTTTCTACCTTCCACTTCATCTTTGGCCTGTCCATTTTCCAATACTCTAATCTTCTTGAACCCCCTTTTTATCCTTTCGCCTTCGTACTTTTCATCTTGGGAACCCTTCCTCCCCTTTTGTTATCTTCTTCTTCTTTTTCTTCTCTCTCTTCTTCCTCCTCTCCCTCCTCTCATTTTTTATGTACTCTTATTCATAATTCTCCTGCACGGATATGAATATAACATATGATATGCGGGCTATGCAATTAAGCCCTTTTGAATTGAATGAATGACCAATTCCACGTAATTTCTTGGTGAAAAGGTGCGGTGGAGGAATATAATATCTAATGATAAAAATAAGTATAATCTTGTTTACCCCTCTGTAGGTTAGGACATTCCTTACGATATAGTACCTAGTTATGTAGCTTTATCCTGAAGTCTATAAGCCCACGTACAAACCCAACCCTATTGTCCTCACTTCTCAGTTTATACAGCTATCTTCTTTCAAACACGTAACGCCTTTTCCAACAGCTCTCTCAACCCCTCAATGATGTTTTCACCATCGCTACCACTACTATCAACCCGCACACAGCTCAATTCCACACTCTCACTCTTCCTCTCCCTCTCCAACTCCCGAAGAATACCTTCTCTCAACATATCCAGCACTGCAGCGTATTGGCTAGACGAAGGCCCGAAGGAGGAGAGGGTGTTTGACAGGTTTGTGGATATCTAAGAGGAGTGGGTATACGTAAGGGGTCATGAAAAGGGATATGGAATAGAAAACGATAGAATCTAAAAGGCCTGTTAGGTAGTTAAAAGAGCTTACTTGAGATATCAGATGGTGATTGACAGTGTCTGAGGCTGGTGGCATTTTATATCCCAGAGTTGTTACTTTAAACAGCGAGGAACCGTGCGGATGGTTAATAGATGTGGTGAAAGGGGTGGCTTTAACCAGGAGTTTAGCAAGGGAGTTATGGAATACGTCTGAAGGACAGGCTGAGTTATTAGGATATATATTTTTCTATTAATTCTTTATTTCTTCTTTTATATGTTTATATAGAAAAGATCCTTCTAGGATTTTTCGTTCTTGAGGGGACTTTAGGGTAAAGAAGTTTTCCTATCGATTAACTAAGGATTTCTTAAATATTTAAAGAACTCTAAGCTGCAGCATCAACGTAACATCCCTGAACCGCTACGACGCAAGTCAAAATAACATCTACAAAACAAATTAACGTTAGCAGGAAAACTTCTCAATAACAGTCTCTCGTCTAACACTCAAATACCTAAAATCCCAATCCCGAACCTAAATACGCATATACATGGCGGATGCCGACGAAGATGCCCTCATCCATCCTACCTCCGCACAAGACCAAATCACACACATTGACCAGGACCTATCCGACGAAACCCAAGACTTCCGCTTCCTAAACTCTCTCTCCTTGTTCGTATTTTCTATCGCGTCCTCCACGATTAAATTAAATAGTTGTTAGTCCGCTGACCATCAACCATCTCACCTAGACTCCCGGACCCCACCCAACCCGCCTCCCTCCCGCGCCGTGGAGAAAAGGACTTCGAACCGAACCCGACACTGCGCCAGGCTGATGTTCTCGCCGCGTCGCGGGATGCTATGCACAATGCGCTCGCATATCCGAGGCTGCATAACCCGAAAACGCGAGTTGTGGGTATCTACTGTCCAACCGGATTATTGAGGCCGGCGCGGAATCCTGCTGGTGGTGAATCAAGAGCAGATAAGGATAATAGTAGCGATGAGAATGTCGCAAATGAGGGGAAGGATTTGGGAGTTGAGGAGAGGAAAGAAAAAGAGAAAGATAAGGAGAGAGATACAGAACGGTACGCTCCTCCAAGAAAGAAACCACCGCCACCCCATGGGATTGGCAATGGAACATGTGTCTGCGTCACTAGTCCACGGGGCCAGCACTTCAGAACCGTCGGGCGATCTGACCATTGGAATCGCGTGTGGCTGCTACCGGAGGAAGCGTTGTATTTGCTGGAACGAGGGAGCTTGGATATCCGATGGCCCACGCCCGCGGGAGATGATGAGCATGCGGGTGAGGGGAGAGGAAACCGAAGAGATGAAGATGTAGAAGATGTGGATGGGGGAATCCCGATGAGTTTGCAAGGGGCGTATGCGTGCCTTATTGGACGTGGGGGATTAACCTTAGAGCGGTACATTGTATATGCCGGCTTAAGGAGGGGTGGGTATACGGTGATACGGGCACCGAGTTGGGATGACGGCCCAGTTGAGCAGGCTGTTTCTTCTACGACGAGTGGAATTGAAACTCATACCCATGCTGAAGAGCGCAGTGGTGGAGGATTAATCAACCTCCTGTCCCGATTCTTCAATTCGATATACAAATCCGTCCCTACAGGATGTCTGGCCCATGGGCCTGTTATCGGGCTAGGTATACACCGTAACTATCGTAAGTCTACTCCTTCCACCCATATCCCATCCATCCATTCTTCATAGTCACAGCTAACCTCAAGAAATCTGAAACACAGACGACATCTACCGCGCCCTCTCCATAATCCCCACCCACAACCCGACCCACCCAGACCCCCCTCAACCCCCCCAAACCAACCCTCCTTACCGCCTAGCCTACCACGTCTACAAACCCTCCACCCCCTTCCGCAAATCCACCCCAGGCACTGCGGACTTCCGTCTCGCCGTCATAAACTCGCGCACAAACCCTACCCTCCCCTCCCTGCAAGACTTATCGGCGCTATTAGAAAGCACGCCACTGGATCCGCCACGGGGAGGGAAGATGGAGCGGCTGATGTATATGCGGCTGCGGCATGGGTGGCGGAATGTGATTTTGGCAGTGGTTGATCAGGGGGTTGTGAGCTTTTTGAGAGTGGCGGATGCCGGGTTTGTGGGAGTCAGGATCTATGAGGAGAAGCAGGGTGGGAGCGGGAATAAGGTGGGTAGAAGTCGGGGGGCAACTGGGGGTGGGGGGCAGAAGGGGAATGGAGGGGGTAGAAAATAGGATAGGGCAGGGGGCTCGGAGTCGGTTCAGGACTGAAAAGGAATTGATTTTGCTTAATATGGATATTTGCATCGGCAAGGTATGCCGCAAACTTTGTAATGATAGCTTGAGAATCTCATGTCTACTTATGGAGCATATGCGGGGTAGATGAAAAATTATGGACTGGGCAAATAGACGAAGAAACGAAAATAACTCAGAAGAAACTGCCACAGGGCAAAAACAAATGTATCCGCACAGCCCGGAACAGTCTTTAGTAATTCGTTTGTTGACGAACAATACCATATCGGGCCATTGGACTTGATCAGCACAGAGCAAACCAATTGCATCAGCCCCTATAGGAGATCTCCATAAGAGGTTTGTGGGAAGAACTAGCCAGTCAACGAGGCCTTTCTCACAAATACCTCAATTCCAACTCGATCAATTCTCTCAATCTTCCCATCGCAATGTTAGACGTTTCGATCTGTAGGCGCAGAAAATAACATGGGCACAAAGCAGAGGTACCATGAGTTCTGAACGTATTTGCCAGATGGAACGTGATGCGTGGTGGGTTTTCAGCTTGCATTATGTTTCCACTGCAATGGCCACTAAGAGCGTAAAATTTGCGAACCCAATGAATGATAAAGAATAAAGAACATTTATCCATCCAGATTGCCACTGATATCCAACTAAACGCCGATTGTAGCCTCTACCAGACACATTCCCGTTTGAATAAAAAGACCGAAAGCGCCCGCAAACCGTTTCCGAAAGAAAATTCCAGAAAACTAGGTGTACATGTAAAATGTTCATTTATTTAAGCTATAGACGAAACCATTAGTCGTGCATTCGAAATCATAAACAAATAGGGAAAGCAGAGAAACCATCGTAAAAAGAAAGCATACTATCCAAATAGTCCGCCGCAATCAAAAGCTCCAGACACAGCTCGAGTGGGAACTCCATGTCTGGCACGTTTTTCTGTCCTTTATTCCGCTCATTATAGAGGAAGTATTCGCAAACTTTCTCAAGCACGACTCCACTGTAGGGTCCGGATAGAAATAATAATCGATTAGCAATAACTTGGCCCCTTGGCTGTAAAGTATACCGGAAATCATTTGGGTGACAGAGGGGAATGGTTTGGATCAGGGGAAGGAAAACGGATGGCGGGTGGGAGTCCCAAGGACGAACTTCATATTCTCGAAAACACAGCGGCCGGTGACGGCTTCGGAGAAATTACCTAGTGAAATAAAAAAAAAAAAAATTTAAAAATATGCTTAGGAACCTTAGAACGATTACGCGGGGCTTGCAACATTAGAGGAGCAAAAATGCAATGGAAAATTTGGGCAAGGAATGCATTTCTATACTACTAACTTGCAGGATCTAACATGCGCCGTATCGTGCCAGAGACACAGGCAGCGTTTCGGGGTATTATGAACTCGAATCCATCATTTGAGGCTAGAGTGACGAACTCCGGCGGAGCGGGTTTGGTGGACATGACTGGCAGTAAGGGCGGGGGGATTGAGGATTGGGATCTGAGAAGCTCCAGACTATCAAGGATATCCAAGGGGGAAGAGGAGGAGAAGTGGTAGCGCATAAAAAACTATACTGGTGATGTCATGATTTCGTGGTGATGTTGACCTGTTGATATTTAGAATGTTGTATGTTAGGTAGCTAAATATCCCAGATGAACATCGCGAGTTGAAAGCTGAGACGAGATGCGAGTCGCCAAGTCAGGTGACCGGCAATGTTTTGCAGAGTTTGTATAGATCGCTGGGATCAGAGATCTGGAGGGTAGAAGTTAGGGGAAGTTTTTCATTCTTTTTTGGCCTAGATACCGGTGAAAGCCCCCTGCTCCTTGAAAACTTGCTCTACTATCAACTTCTATTGTTCTATTGGATAACAATTATCTCTACCACGCGACGGCTATAGGAGGAGATTGACAGCCTAGAAATCGCGGATCGGTTGAAGTGTGCTGTGCTTTGACTGGCAATTAGGGTCATCGCTGTTCACCCGGAACAGGGGCGATTGGTTTAGTGGTATAATACCCCCTTAGCATCGCATTCCCCAACCACTGGGAACAGGCGTGGGGGTGGTCCAGGGTTCGATTCCCTGATCGTCCATTGTTGTTTTCTTTTTTTCTGTGTCTTCCAGAAGCGCAAATAATTTCCCTGTTCAACAACAACTAGCTCCAATCATTTGATATTTGGGAGTTGTTTACTTTGGCTTTGGCTGTAGCGGAACATTCGTGAACCGGATATATGGAGTTATTATGCATTGCGACAATCACAGACTACAAGCTGCTGTTCCACCTCTGTACAACTGTCAATCAACGGCATATAAGCAATTTATGGTAGTACAACATTTCATATATCATCTGATATACAGGGGAATGCGAAGCGGTCACCGGATCCTAGTTTTTTGACATACTAAATACCTAGGAGTCGTCTACCACTGGCGATATAACACCTGTTAATCCATTATACTTCAAGGTTGCAATAATGCCATTGGGGCTGCCTCAATTACGCTCGGGTTTCCAGTCCCGTGGGCTAATGGTCCGTTGCTGTCCGATCTCAACACCTTGGTGTTCCCAGCTCGGTTCAGAAACAATCAATGCGAAACCAGAAGCTAGAGCTCGGGTGATATCCCGAGACCCATGGGAGTTAGAGTGCCTTAGAAGCTTCTCGACAAGCCATGACGCAACAAACAAGCCAAGGAAACCATTGGAGTCTGCGAGACACCAAAGTCCGCCGCTGAAGGGATTAACCTGCATGGTAACGGGTGGCTCATCTGGAATTGGGTATGCCATTGCACGTCGATTTCTACGCGAAGGGGCTGAGAAGGTGATTCTTGTCGGAAGGAGTAGGAGAAGATTGGAGGAGGCTGTTAGAAGGTTAGAAGAAGAAGAAGACAGAGGAGATTACGTTGAACCGGGTCGGCCAATGGGTGAAAACAACGACGATCTTCCACAAGGTAATGGCGTGGACGTTCACAATCCGGCGCAGCGGGCCACCCCGCCTATGCAAAGTATAGAATTTGATAATCTGGTACATGACCAGCCCCATGACACAGTCACTGTGAAGGACTGTGAAATATCTGAGTTTGGACCGCGATTTACACTGGCCGTCGGGGACGTCGGCAACCCGTCATTCTGGGGGGAAGAGATTAAAAAATTAATGGTACTTTTTGCGGCTTCTCCATACATACTAACAACCAACCCCTTTCCACCCCCCTCCTTTCCATATAATACTAACGCACATATAAATACATACAGGACAACGTTGACGTTCTCGTCAATGCCGCGGGCATTTCCTACTCCTCCCTCCTCCCCTTGACTAAAGAGGAGCATATCACAGCCATGCTCCGCACGAATCTGCAAGGCACGATAGTCGCCTGTCGCACCATGTCGCGGCGCGTAATGCGAGCAAATTCCCTCCAAAAGCTCATGGATGATAATAATACCATCACCAACAGCAGATTTACGAAGTGCATCATTAACATATCATCGCTGCATGCGATGAAAGGGGGTGTTGGGGCAGCGACTTATGCATCTACAAAAGCGGGTGTAGTGGCCCTGACACGCGCGATTGCGGCGGAAAGTGGAGAGATGAAGGTAGAAGCGAGGTTGAGGGCTAATGTCATTGTGCCAGGGTATATTGAGACGAGGATGGTTGCGGGTATGATTGAAATATTCCCCTAACCCACGCTTTTTCTTTTCTTTTTCTTAATGGAATTATTTCGTCAATTCATCGAATCCTTGCTGACTTGTGAAGAAGACCTAAACCCGCAAGTGCGAGAGAAGGCGCTGCGAGCTATCCCGCTCCGTCGTTTTGGGACGGTGGAAGAGGTGGCGGATGCAGCCGTATTTCTTGCGGCCAACCAATATGCTAATAACTGCGTGTTGAATCTCGATGGGGGGTTGAGCGCTGTGTAAATGTGTAAATTTTAGCGTGCGATAGAAATGAGAGTGCTCTGCAGATGAGGGTTTCTAAATTCCAGAGTACGCTGGTTTCGCTCCATGGGATAGAAAGAAAGGTTTAAGCAGCAGCAGACACGGGAAAGAATTGACTGAACTTGACCGGTATTTTACCAATGATAGCTCTATTTAATGATCACATCTATGCGTTTGTCCCGAAAAAACATACCCCCTTTGACCATAAATAAACATCTGAACAGTGCTGGCAATAAAGAACCAGAGAAAGACAGAGTAACATCCGTCCCATACCCATATCCATATCTGAAAGAAAAAAGGAAGAAAAAGCTCTTTCCATGGCCTTTAATATCCCCCAACCTTGGTGATTAAACAATGAATGCTGTGTGAGTTTGTTAATGCAACTGTACAATGTTGTGAGTCTAAAAGAAAGGAGGCAAAAATGATGGCTCTTCTACCCGTCTTGGTAGCCAAGATGCCAGCAGGAAATAAACTTCACACCTTACAACAGTTTGTTCCGTATGCAGCTATGCGAATCCAGGAGTAAAAGGTAGATAGGTTCGAAGCCTATCGAAAAATTTGCCAACGGGGCCATCCCTCCCTTCAAAAAGAAGTAGCAATTCAGTCGTCATCGATCAGAATAGTCCCCGAATCATCTTCCAGAATAATGGGTCTGTCTGAACCTCCATCATTAGCGCCCTCTCGGACAGACATTGTCGCGAGGCGTTTCGCCGGCTTGTCGTCCTTGTCTAGATCTCCGTCTGCATCACGCTTCCTCTTTTCTCTGACGGCGGTACCATCGGTTCCGGCGTCTATAGCCCCGTTTCCATTTGCTTCGCCATTGCTAAGCTCTGGCATTGCTGGTTTTGGTTTTCTAGGAATCTCAGGTACTGATGGGAGAAAGATGGATTTTGAGGTTGGGTCGGTTGATGGCCTATTTTTCTAGCAATCAGTGGTTTTGATTTTCTGGGGGACTAGCAGGGATAATGTGGAGCGGTGGTGTAAGAAGGAGGGGGGATTCTGACCGTTCAGATACAAGTAACTCCAAGTTGACACGGGTATCGTCATCCTCCTCATCAACAACTGTAATGAAACTATCATTCATAACCCCTAAATCTTTCAACTTTTTTGGAAGGTTGTCGTCAAGATCGGGGTCGTAGATGGTCCCAATCTGATTGTTGATAGAAAGCTCTTCACCATACCCAAGCTGCCCATGCAGGAGGTCCTCGACCAGATCGTTCAGTGTTGCTCGTTCGAGGTCAACGGAAATCTTCCCTTGAGCCACGCTGCAGACCGGACATTGGGAATTTGGGGGGTTCAAATGGTCGGTATTTATGGCACGGACGCCCGATCGTTCGAGAAAGACCATCTTTGCGTGGTCGTAATCATCTTTTAAAACCTTAAATGCCTGCAAGACACAGATTGCTGCAGTCATGGCGTTCGTCGTGGCAATTGCTGGGATAATATTACCGGCCATCTCTGTTGCGGAGGTTAGTGTAAAGTACAGCAAACAATTGCTGATTCCCAAGGATGCTAAAAGCTCACGTTTTATCTCAAACTTTGACTTCATTTCGATTCCGAAAATGTGACATCGAAGGTTTGCACTTGCCGCAACAAAATCAAGCGTGTCTACATCGTCTTTATCAAACGTTATAATCGGCTTCTGACCATCTGTTGTAGCGTATTCAAGTTCGCGAAGTCTCCGCGAAAGGCGTCCCAAACTGCACATTGTTAGTTTAGTTTATCACCGTAGCCAGACGCAAATACCCACACGATCAGGGATCGTACCTATCTTTAAATACCGCAACGTCTTCTACCAATGTCCAAACCTTCTGGTCATTTGAAGATATCCTCGAGTCCACAGCCGTCGCCTCTTGTTGAAGTGGACCAAACGATAGAGGTTGGGGAGGTCGTCTCGCCTTCCACACGTCTTCCATTTTCCGTAGACGATCGATATCTTCATTGAAAACCTTGTTGAAAACTTTTTCCGCAAAATCGTCAGATCCTATCGATTGGCGGATGGATAAGAGTGCTTGAGCTTCCTTTTGAAGGTTGGCAATCTCCTCAGCTGAAAAGGAGAGAGTTATGTTAGCAATTTAGGGAAAAAGTGTTCATATATCTATGAGAATTGCATGTACCATTCTCAGCATCTTCGGAGTGGTCAAACTCCTCGGGATCACTATCGCTTTCACCAAACAACTCTCTGTGAATCCGGTTAGTGCATCCCAAAGGATATAAAAGGGGCAAGAAGGAGCTCACGGTAGCAGGTAGCTCTTAGCCCATACTATGCAATGGATAGGTTGACTGGGGGTACTCCGTATCGTACAGACTGGGAATGACTTGGGCGCTTGCTTCGGATTACAGTCATAGCATTCAGTTCGTCCCTGGTATATGTATGTAAGTCCATATACCCCGCTTAACAGAATCTCATTGTATCCCCACCCTTTTTATCACCTGGACTTGGCCATTGAATCCCGTGGTGCCACTTTCGATAAGCGGGACGTTTGCCGCCAGACACATCCTATTGACATGCCGGCGGGCGTCAAGGTTGTCCAGCGCATTAAAAACGATATCGAACGTTTCAAAGAAGCTAACATTAAACTGGGAATCTTTGATATTTGCGTGATAGGCATGGAGGGAGACGTCTGGTCGGAATTTGCTTGCGACTTCCTTTGCGATCTAGATAAAGTAGAAAATTCAGGCATTTGTTAGTTAGTTCTTGAACCTCCAAAACATGCTGAAGGAGAAATCAATAAGGATAACACATACCAGTGCTTTTGATTTCTTTATATGTTCTTGTCTAAATAGGAATTGCCGGTTTAAATTGCTCAGATCTATTGTGTCAAGGTCTATTATGTGGATTTCCCCGAAGCTGGTGAGTACGAGGTTTTTCAGAAGTTCACAGCCAATGCCGCCCGCACCCACCAAAAAGACACGAGACTATGTAGGAGGAATAAAAGTCAGCATCAATAAACCTATCCCTGGGGTATTACCTGCGGGCGAACCTTTCGTATCTTAGTAGATAACGTGCCTAACGACTGCTTGTGGTATTTATCCATAATTGCGTTTCCGGGCTTGCCCTGTGCCCGGGAGGACGATGAGATATTTAATGACTGATAGCACAGGGTAGCAGATTAGGAAATGGGATTCCAGAGAAATAAGAAAAGAGGATATTTTGGAGGGGTAGAGGTGCAGGTTTGAAGCTTGGTGTCGGTTGGATGAAATGAAAAGCCGCGCGCTGGTCTTGGCAGAGAAGCTTCAAAAAGTTGATGTGACGAGGCAGGGATGGAGAGTCATTGGACGGAACATCAACCTTGGGGAAAATTATGTGCTGATGAGTGGGGAGAAATATAAACACAGCACAGCATACGGAGCACAGGTAAGCATAGAACTGCCTTTGATTTCCACATATTTTCTTGATCTCGAAAATTGTATCTTTTTGTACTGTCCTGTCTGTCCACGCTGGACCAATTATGTATCCTCCATTTGAATTCCCAGTGTACAGCTTTCCCCCTTCACTTTGAAATGCGAAACTAACCTGATCCTGACATCAAAGGAAAGGGTCAAAAAAAAAAACCCTTTTTTTTTTAAAAAAAAAAGCAGCGTGGATTCATTGTTCTCCGATGCAAGCTCTGCATTGGTGTAGCTCCTCTTATTCTCATCTTTCTGCAGAGTGCCAGAGGGATGGATGCAGCCAAAGAATCTACAACCATTGCATTTGATAAAAGATGAACAGCTAACTAGGCCTGTATCTGATCAGAGAATACCACATTTCCATAGTATGATACCCCTTGTGTTGAATTCAGTATACTCGTTATCAACCGAGTAGTTAACTATTAGTTAGGATATTTGGACTTATTGTAGCATACCAACCTACCTGAGCATTTGCACCATACCTCAGATGAAAAGGTAATTGTTTCCCGGATCTATTTCGTAACTAAACATTCATTTTTTTTTACTATCACCGCCCGTTCAAGGTATAAAAATTAAATCTCTCGCTTGAAGCCCAATTCCTGATTGGATAAATATCGCCTTGGTGTCTGTCATTCTGGTTACATAATCTTCCATGACACACCCGACTTTCGTTGTAACTAACTAAGCTGAGCAGATCTGGTATGTAACTCTGATAATTTTTGATTTCTCAATTACGGTGAACGATATACTCTTTTTTACATAGGGTGTTGGAAATGATGCCTTATTTCTCAAGTTCCCCAGTTTTGCCATTTGCGTTTCATCTTATTTAACTAAGTTACCGTTGGCCAATTTCATTTGATAGTAAACTGCCCCCCCCCCCCCCCCCCCCCCCCCCTTTGGAACAGGGTCCATCAACTACATTTGTTGGGACAAGAGAACAATTGCAAGTGCTGGATTTATACATTATTTTGAATGACACAATGTCATCAAAAGCGTAGATAAGCTGCGCATTCTTTTATTTTGTTTTATTTTTGGGCTTTTGTTTTTATTTATTCCCCTTTCCGACTGGGAAAAAGTACATATATCCAGTTACAAAGGGTGGCAACAGCCAGCAAATCATACAAACATCTCATATTTGGCCCGTCATCCAGGGAAAACGAAGCAGAAATGTCAGACGATGAAGCAGATCCCGAACTGCTTGAGCTTCTCCGTCAATCCCTCGGACTAGGACGGCCTACCATATCAGGCACAGAAGTAGACACTTGGGTGCTCTCAGGAGCGAAGCATACCTTTGACAACTCCGTCGACGTCGCCTTAGACCCTTTGAGAACCAGGGTTGCTGCAGAGGCCATCTGGCAGATGATGCAGAAGAAGCAGTATTCAACGAAGAAGTGGGGGGAACATGAGCTGCACCCGCGGACCAAGGATGAGAATACGGTCAACTTCATCTTCACGATGGATTTGTTGAATTTTAGCTTTTGGTCCGATGAGACGGATGAGTCGAAGCAGTTTGCTATTGAATATCGGGGAAAGAGATGGAAGGGGTATTGGAGTCTTGTTGCTGCACTGCAAAGGGCGCTGGATGAAGGTATTCGTTTTCCTTTTCTTTTTTCTTTTTTGTTATGGAGTATTTCGATATCTGTGATATTTCTCTCATGGTTAAAAAATGGTTGGCCTAAAAGCTGACACTATCAGAGATCCCAATTACGAGTTCGGATTTCTGGAAGAATGAAGATGAATGTACAGAGGAGGTATTGCGACATGTCTTCAGGTCTGCAACGGACGAGGAAATACCGCTTTTTCAAGAACGTCTCAATTGTCTCCGTGAGGCAGGGGAAATTCTACACGATGTGAGTGTTATTGCTATTTCTTCTTTACAAATAGAAGGGGGAAAACCTCCACTTATTTGTTGCATTGCATTGCTAATTCCGATACCTAGAAATACCTCTGCAGCTTCACAACCTGCATCGAAGAAGCTAATGGTTCTGCGGCAGTCCTTGTGAACCTGCTAGCCAACAACTTCCCCTGCTTCAGGGACAAGACGCGATTCGAAGGGAAAGAAGTGCGCTTTTACAAGCGAGCTCAGATCCTCGTCGCAGATCTCTGGGCATGTTTTCGTGGCAAATCCTATGGTAGATTCCACGACATTGACAAACTAACAATGTTTGCAGGTACGTGGTACCTATTTTTAATATATACCATTATTTCTCTTTCATCTTCCCCTTCCCCTTCCACGACCTCTATATCTGCTCATACATACACAGACTACCGCATACCGCAAATGCTGCACACCCTCGGCTGCCTCCTCTACTCTCCTCCCCTCGAATCACACATCCGCCAAAAAAAGCCCTTGCCAAGTGGCCACAGATGGGAAACCGAACTACGCGGCACAAGCATATGGTGCGTCGAGCTGATCCGCCGCCATATCGAAAAGCAGCATTCCGAAATGATGAAGCCGGGCGCGTATGCAGAGTTGACGCCGCCATTGACCACCGCCCGCGGGTCTGCAGTGGCGTCGGGGTCTGTATCGGTTAGAGGCGAAGATGAGGAGAAGGAGGGAGATGATTCTGCGAAGGATGTTGGTGTTGATGAAGGTGGGGTTGAGGGAGATGACGTGCAGCCATTGGGAGTCAATGCGGTGCTGATTGATTTTCTGCTGTATGATACGGCGAAGGAGCTGGAGAGTCAGGGGAAGGAGAGTATTCCACATCATCGGACGAGGAGTATTTGGTATTGAGGTTTTATTGATGCAGTGTGTTTGTGCGCATTCGAGTGGGGAATCCAAGTTTACATTTCTCCATTCTCCTTCGTTCTATTCCAAAGGATACTGCCGTTCCTCACCTTTGGTCCTATTTCTGCTTCATTGTGGGGCGTCTACACTGCTTTCTAGTTAAATTCCCGCTTATACCAAACAAAATTTCATATATAGGTGAAAGGAGCTTACCTAGGTATCCTAATTGCATAAAAGGGGGCGTTATATGGAGGTTAAGAGACAGCTTCTATTCATCGTAGAGTACATTCACAATCTATTGAGAAACCATGAAGTTATATAATAATGCTTGCTATATCTTCCACCAACTGAGACAGGAAGGTATCGTAACGCATAGGTCGTGACATTGTTTTCATACAAAAAGTCATAACGATTCTTCCACGAACACTTTAACCAAGTTTCCCTCATCCAACAGCCATCCCACTTTCAATAGCCCGTATCCTCCCCATTATACCTGCTTTCCACTCCAAGTAATCCTCCCTCTTATCCTCACTCAACCAATTGAGGCGGTCCTGCATCATCGTGCCTAACCCTGGCTGCAAACCACCCCGCGGTTTTTCTGAACCATCGCGGCTCCGGCGTCGACTCTCCCTTCGGAGAGCCCTCTTTCTCTTCAAACTGACGATTATATCTTTATCACCATCATTTTTTTCGTCATCAACATTTTCTACTTCATCTTCATTACCCACGGCTGGTCCGGGAATATTATCAAACCACTCAGTCCCAACCGTCCAGTTCCGCAACATGATTATTGACAACCAGTCATCCACATCGCTTACATATGAGGTTCCTTCCAAACCAAGGCTTTCCAATGCCGCAGAAGCCATCTCAATATACGTATCCACATCCAGTGTCTCCGCGGAAGACGAAGGCCGCCGACGAGCAAGAACAACAAAATACACCGCCACAATCAACGTAGAAATCCTCTCTCTGTAAATTTTAGTATCCTGTGAGTCAGGATTTCGCATCTGCGTCGTCGCCTTTACCGAAAGCGGCGCAAGAAATTCTGCTTGTGTTTCATCCCACTGTTCCCCTGGTTCAGATATGAATGAGAGTATGGACGAGACACCCACAAAGATATGCGGTGGTAAGAGCAGGGAGATGGTAGGGCGCGAATATGATGTGGAGGAAGGTGTGCGCGTAGATAGTGCCTTGCAGACCCGTCGAATAAGCGGCATCGTCCAGGAGGGCGCGTCTTGAATTGATTTTTTGTTCGATACGCTATTGATCCCCACGCTGCTCTGGAGAGGTGCCTTTTGCCTATTATTCACCGTTTTTCGAGAGGGGCTCATGGGGAAAGGACGCTTCAAGGGTGAGCCATTTGCCGTTACTGTTGGGGAATTCTTTGACGGTGTCCGTAGCGGTGTAGACGTGCCTGTTGGTTTCCTTGGGGTGGTTCTTGAAGCCGTTGTGGATGATTTCAGCAACGCCTGCTCGAGATAGGTATATGTTTTCTTATACACGCGTGGTGGACATGGTGGCCTTCCGAGGAGAGGGGGTAGCTTCAGATATTTGCTTAATCTACACATAGATATATATATTCCCGTTCGATCAGCCTGGGTGATGATTTTCCTTTTCTGTCCTTTCCTTTCCTTTCCTTTCCTTTCCTTTTCTTTTCTTTTCTTTTTTTTAAGTGAAACATGGAGAAGAATTGAGCCTACCGTTTGCAAGCGATTTCGGCACAGACATAAGGTCTGGCAATTTCCTCCTCCGGCCTCAGGCTGCTGCCGTAGCTGCGAGACTGTGCAAGGAGGTTTGAGGCATGGTTGACAAGCTCTGGTGGGAGAGCTTCGGCATGGGTGGGGAGGAGATTTGCTAGAGCTTGCTGGAGGGATTTGTTGCTCATGACGCGGGGAATTGTCTATGGGGAGTGATTGTGTTGGCAATGGATGTAGGATAACACGCTTTTGGGTTTAGAATTTCCCTTCAGGTTCGCAGTTTGGTCGAGTAATTTTGCTGATGTTGTTCTGGCAGTTAACTATATCAAGTGTTGAGAGAGCATGAGGGTGAACTTCAGTTCATGGGAAAAGTTGTGGCTTGAGCTCCAGAGGCGGTAAGATAAGAGGGATTTAACTACCGACATCGACGTTCTCTTCCTCTATATCTAGTGGATATAAGTTACTCGGATGTATTTAATCATATCAACAAAAATACTTTATTGTCATTGACTCCCGTTTACAAGCTGTCAGACCAGTTCCCTTACCTAATTTTCACAATCTGTGACATCCTTATGAGAAAGGTTTAACTACAGAGGCATGCATACATATCTTTAAATCTGGACTAAGAAATGCTACCATCCGCGGGGTCATTAAATTAGTTACTTACCTGCTGAAAGTTGAACTGGATGTTTAGGTCAGTTTCATACGCGGACCCGAAATCCATGGATAACCATCTCGTAAGGTTTAGTCAGTTGAGTTAATCTCATCTCAAATTGGTACGGTTCAAGATCTGGGTGGGATATTTAACTGCAAAATATTAGTTATAGGATAGTTAAACATGAATCCAACTGATTTAACTTTTCGCTTCCCGGTCTTTTAGCCAGACAGCGATAAACTTCCCAGTTGCGCCAGGTGTCTCCCAAGATCTGTGCCGAATGAATGGTGTTTTGAGTGATGAAGGTCATCCGAAATGTCAAAGAAACACTGGAATTGGGGAATTGATGTCATTATCTAGTTTATCATGCGACGGGAATGGGACTTTATGCGAGAATGCCGCCCAAGTCATTTCTTCCCCGCGTTTCTTCTGATTGGACGCCCGAGGCAATAATGGGGGTTGAAGCCGGTTATGAACTTCGGCTTTGCAGAGAGAAATACCCAGATTCAGATTCCCAATATTTAACGCTGCTCTTCTGTTTGTGAGGAGAACTAGACTAGTTACTTGCTGTGCTCAAAAGTGGCGTTTTCCTGCTGCTGGTCATCAGATCTTCCCCCGTCCCACCTCGTCCTTACGATAGTATAGATATGTATATGAGGGGCTGTATAGTTCTTGCGCCCAGTTGATCCAATACTAGTACTAGTATCGCGATTATCAACATTGACCGCCGGATACTTCCCTTTCGAAATAAAAATGGGACAAAATTACAAGGAAATTTCGGCCATTGCGCAGAAACGCCGGGATGATTCGCTCTCTGCCTTCTTCCCTATCCCGGATGTTGAAGAAGAGAGTCTTCCTCGGGACCTGAGATCCTACCCAAAGACTTCTGGCCTCTTAACGCAAAATGAGCTAGACATTGTCGATGCTAACGCTCAAACCCTGCTTCAAAAGATAAAGGAGAGAACACTGACCTCAGTTGACGTCACAAAGGCATTTTGTAAGGCTGCTGTGATTGCGCAGAAACTGGTATGATATCTGCGCCAGTGGGCTGGCTGCCTGTTGTAGCCCTTTTGCAAAAGCTAATTAACTCTCCTCAGACAAACTGCGTCACTGAAGTCATGTTCAATGAAGGCTTAGAACGAGCAAGGTATCTAGATGAATACCTGGAACAGACAGGATCCGTCCTGGGACCACTTCATGGTTTACCATTATCTCTGAAAGACAGTTTCATAACCCCTCCTTATCCATCTTCAATCGGCATGGCATTACATGCAAATACTCCCACGGCACGGGAATCTGTCCTTGTATCCATGCTCAAGGACCTGGGCGCTGTCTTATATGTGAAAACCAACATCCCGACAGCAATGATGATGGCAGAATCTACAAATCGGATCTGGGGTGAAACTAGGAATCCCATTCACAAGGGCCTTACCCCAGGTGGATCAACGGGTGGTGAAGGGGCACTTCTTGCAATGAAAGCGTCGCCTCTTGGCGTTGGAACGGATATCGCTGGTAGCATTCGCATCCCAAGTGCTTTCTGCTGCCTTTACGGTTTGAAACCTTCTTTTGGACGATTCTCGACCTTGGGAGGGCAGCCAAGTATCGCGGGCCAAGATTTCATATATGCTGTCTGCGGGCCCATGTCCACATCCCTTGGTGCCGTCAAGTTGTTTTGTGAATCGGTTCTATCCGATACAGCAGCACCCTGGAATCTTGACCCCAAAATCATACCCATGCCGTGGAGAAGGGATGTCATCCAGCCCAAGGGACGCAAGCTACGATTAGGAGTTCTTGGGGCCAATGATGGGACGATAACTTGCCATCCCCCAGTAGAGCGTGCTTTGTCACTCGTTACCAACGCCTTGAAGGCCGCAGGACATGATGTGGTCCCTTGGTACGTTTAACGAGTCCATGCATCTAGATGGCACTGGGAGGGAAGACTAACCACGCTGCGGCAGGGAACCAACTAACCACAGAGAGATCGTCGATTTGCTTAACGAAGGGTTTGACGAGCTAGGATCTGACGCCATCATCCCATCTTTGGAGGCATATGAGGAGCCATTATTCGGCTCCATGGAAAGGGCATTCAGTGCGTGTAAGAGAAGGTCTACTAAGTTTGATCCGGCCAAACTACGGGAAATGATCATGAAAAGAAACCAGTTCCAAAAGGAATACCTTGACCGGTGGATGGCAACTAAAACAGACACTGAAGGGCCCATCGATGCCATAATTGCCCCCGTTGCGCCAACAGGGGCTCCTCGCCTTGGTCAAGGGGAAACAGTGGACTATGTCGGGTTTACTGGATTCGTTAATTTGTTGGGTAAGCTACCGATTCATATTGATCTAGGAACGCGCTCTTATGAAAAGGCTAATATGTGAAAACAATCTAGATATTTCTGCCTGCACGTTCCCAGTGACTTATGCTGATAAATCGCTTGATCTTCCGCGGGATGAGGGATGGGTGCCGCTGAACGAGAAGGATAAAATGATACAGGCAGATTACGACCCTGAGTTCTACCATGGAGCTCCCGTCTCCCTGCAGCTGATCGGGAAACGGCTGGAAGAGGAAAAAGTGCTTGAGATGGTTGAAGTCGTGGCTGATGTCTTGAATAGTGCGAAATAGAAAATGCATACTGGGGACTACGCAGTTATTACCACGGCCAATCGTTATCATCTAGATCTCTATAACAGATAGATAGATCAGTAAATGGCCTTTCACACAAGAATATGCGTATCATCATATCATCACCGTATCAATTCGTGTTCTGTAGCTTAACATCATTAGTGTTTCTTTAGATAATTGAGACGCATTGGGATGTTCAACGCTGCGCTCAGACGCTTTAACCGATTAACCTCGCTAAAATAGGCGGGGTCGTTGCCTCCGCAACCAGAAACGTCATTGGATACAAACCCGCTAAACAACGCAACCCATCAACCAATGTCTCTCTCACCACTGCAAAAACACCGGTCGTTGAGAGATATTGAAAGATATTTATCTGTACACAGTGTGCTCTTGCCACGCTGCCCCCTCAAATATCCATTCATCGCTTTACCTCCCTCTCCCCATAATAGACTAGACCACAATGCCAACCACCACACGGCGCCGCTCAGGCAACCATCACCAGTCCACCCTCTCCTTCGGCGGCCAACATAAAGTCTCCAAACCAACCTCAACCTCTTCCCTCGCCGGTAAAAAGGGACTGAAAGCCGATGTCAGCTCTCCAGTCGCTGAGGTCCGTCAGCGGAGTGCCTCAGGTTCAGCCTCGCCAGCACCCACAGCCTCACCAGCGACGACTGTGGTTACACACCCTGCTGAGATCGAGCCGGAGCAAAAGCCTGTTGCTGCGTCGTCGAAGAGCGAGAATGTGATCGCGGAACAGGCGAGGGTTGAGCTGCGGCAACCCAAGTCTGAGGAGGATGTGAGGGCTGAGGCATTGACGGAGATGGACATTAGGCAATACTGGCAAAGGGAGGAGGAAGGGAGAATTGCTGCCAGGGGTGAGTTATTGTGCTTCTTTTTTGGACCCCTAGTCATATTGTCTGGGGGGGTGTTAATTTCTATGTGTGAGATCTACATGTGCATTGGGGTGTTGTTATATATGGTGTTGTATGGTGTTCTCTGGGTACTTGATGGAATTTGTCTGAGAAGCATTTGGAAACTAACAGTTTGCGTTGTCTTTATGTTCTGTAGTGCACCAGCAACATTTGACGGTGGATGAGAAGATACTACGACATTTCGACCTGTCGAATCAATATGGGGTATGCTATATCATTACGAGGACCGTTTGCTGCTACTATTCTACACCTGATTGATTGACTGACTGCGACGAACAGCCATGTATCGGGATTGCACGAATAAAGCGCTGGAGACGAGCACACATGCTTAACCTTAATCCTCCCATTGAAGTCCTTGCTGTGCTGTTGAAAGATGAAGCAAAGGGCATTGCAAACGAGAAGGCATATATGGATGAGTTGTTGTAATAATAAGGATGGGTAGGATTTCTTCACTGCTGTCCTTCAAACTCGAGGTAATGCATGGACCCGACTCTTGTCACATTTGCGTCCATTCCTTTTATCAGACTTCGACACATTTCTTTCACATTTCCTCCATTTTGGCTGCCTTGATTTCCCTGGGTTCGCTGAGTTTGCTGTTCGTCTTTTCTTTCTTTCTTTTGTTTTTCCTTTTTGGAGTCTGGCATGGGATCGGGGAGCGGAATAAGGCGTCTAGACCATCATTCACCTGTAATAATCTATATAAAGAACTTTATATTTTTCTTTTCTTTCCATTTTAATTTTATCTGCTTCACCTGATACTTCCCTGTTGAATGAACGTGCACTTTCGGAAAAACAATGGACAGGAACAATCACGGGAGGGGAAGCGTGGTTTAAAATATACTTAACCATAGCATCGAAGCATCTATAGACTGGGTTGATGGCGGTTTCATCACTGATCCATTAACCGTGGGCAGGGCTAATAATAATAAAAGGCTTGTGAATCTAGGGTATCGGTATCGAATGTATTTCCACTGCACTTTCGGAAGATCCTTTCAATCACACATACGACTGACTAGGAGGGTTCTCCTGAAACGACAGGCTTAAGAACGCGAAGATCATCATAACCCGAGTTCTTTATGCAAGTTCTATTAGCAGCAGCTCTTCTCTCTTCTGACAGCGCTGGGTTTCACCCTATGTAGCCTGATCCATGAATATTCATGGATGGGAACATACGCACGGGACTCGAGGCGGCTTTGTTAGTCCCACGCCAGGGTTGTCTCTCAATTTCAGTTTCACTTGATGATTGTCATCTTCCAGTTCCAACACGGGCTGCGTTGGTAAATTTATCATTATTTCTTCTCTTATCCGACAACACATGGATACGTTCTGGGTATTGTTTCCCCACAGTTATATAGAAGGGAGTAGCTAGGCGCCAATTCCCTGGTTTAACACCACCTTAAAACCTCCGTCTTGCGGCCCGAGTTTCTGAGCATTTGTTTTCAAACGCTTTCCGTCTGTCATTGATTCATTGGCAGATGAACCATCCCGAATTAAAAACACACTCAAGTACTACTCCATACAGGCAAGAGGCTATGCCAACTATGTCATCCATTACATCGTGCGGGCTAGCGTTACATTCGGCACCCGCTTACTACCCTTGGGATCATTAATTTTGCTCCGCTACGCCGCCGAAACCTAGAGAATGTTTCTCCCATCGAGGGCATCTCAGTGACATATCAATAATACGCTACCTAAACACGTTTTATTACAATCCTAAAAGGCTCCTCTGTGAGGACGAGGTACTTAACTTTGGAGAGTTGCTCGCGAGACGTCACGTGAAGAGTTCAAACTGCTGCCCAGGAAGATCCGAGAAGCCCTTTATGCAGATGCTATTTAGGCAGGTCTTTGGAGTCCCACGAAACATTTTTAGCACGGCGCAAAAGAAAAGCTGGCAGGCTTGTGGTCTCGCAGATCGCAGGAATACTGAAGATTCACTTGGTGGTGCTGAAGTCATGATACTACATCTTGCCTTCCCATGCAATGGCTACCTAGGTGCAGTTACTCAGATCATATGTGCTTGACAACGATTTCGCAGATTCTGCCTCAAGAAAACAGATTAGACGCTTCCAAGCTTAAAACAAGTTTACGAAGATACGCAGTGTAATCCACAGGACTGACTCGAGAACCATTTCTACTCCTGCGTTATTTCATCGAGGGCCCCGTCAAAGCTGCCAAATACAAGCATCAGCATTGACTTCAATCGCACCATCCATTCCGATACTTTAAACTGGCCCGAGTGTTTTAACCTTGGAACTATGGCGAATGTTGAGTTGATCACGGCCCGATATTATTCTTTTTCCAATCGCTACATGCAGGAACGTGGTGCATGATTATTACTAACTTTTACATGGGAATCATCAAGTCCGGGAGAGATATTGGAGTGTTCCAAGGTTATGAGTTCTGAGCTTGGTCTTCACGTCAGAGATACATTCGCATACCAACTCTGGCTTTACCTGGAAGAAAACAAGGGTAGAGAGATGGAAGAGCGATTCTCGCAGGCTACCGAGATATCTGACTTGGTAAACATGATGCTCTTTCAGACCTCCATATCTCTCTGTTTGCACTATACATTGCAAAAAGGTCCCAATTAAGTTAAATAAGTCATGAAGCTTGGCGACTCTTCCCCTAGGCCACTCAAGCAACATCTTCAAATGTTGCACAGGATGTATCTCCAAAAAGTGGACTTGCAATCAACTTTTCCCAAGAATGGTAAGGCACAGCCCGTCTGTCAAAGATTTTGGTTTCCTTTTCACTGTAGTCTGATTCGTTCATTAGTGGTATCATCACATCAATCTTCTCATTGATATTAGACCAACAAGCGGCCTAAAATTCCGATTCACATGCAAGACAGTGTTGGCCAAGCTCCAACCCCCAGTTTTCTTGCATATACTTCAGATGACAGCACAAGCGGTAAAAACGTCGCGTGTTACGGAAAGTTACCTGGGTATGATAACCTTGGGAATACCTAAAATAGGTGCGTAGGACTGTACTACATCTCAGCTCGAGATGGCTATCTTCTCACGTCATACTTCTCGAATATTCGGGTAATACAGAGGCGTCATGGCAGCGGTAAGGTACAATGAGTGATACGGTCAATCTTCAAAAGAATGCCGACGAACTTTTCTGAGCATTCAACTAGCCCAAAGTTACTCTATACAACAAACAAGAATAAAAATGAGAAACAAGGAAATGGATGTTCAAGTTCACCACAATTACATTGGCATTTTGCAAATCATGCTAATGAATGGGAGCTAACTCCATCCCTACCTCGTGAGTATGCTGGTAGTAGATTGACCACAATATACCTTGCTCCATTATTCAATGCTGCGTGAAGTTTAGATTGTTTAATTGTACCCTCAGGGTAATTACTAGTTACTCTTGATGACTTGGCTGACCGAGTATTGTTAGTTTTTGCAACTATGCCCAGTGGGTTCTGTTTTTGCTTGAATGACCCAGTGCAAACTCTAGGGACAAATCGAGTGACAGAAGAGCCATATGGATCCATAGTTTACTACTTATCCCGGACTTTCCGCCCTTTTCAACAGCATAATCATAATGCGTCCAAACATTCCTTGAGCAGTATGCATTTAATACGCCAGAACTGCGAAAATTTGCCCAAACTCTTCATAAATTCGTCTGGAGTGGGGAGGGGAGGCATGCCTCCCGAGGTCAGTTCTCGAGCGTCCATAGGTACCTCCCCTCTTATTGGCTTGTGCCGCCACTCCTCCTCCATATTCTGCCTAGCGCACGGAAACCCCCCACGTATTACGACCCCCATGCGAGCATGTTACGACTATCTCTAGCTTCATGCCAGGCAATCCAAACCTGATATGGCATCTTGACATGTACCAGTTCACCAATGTCGTGAGTAGGAATCGCATTTATCAGATCATGGGTAGGCCAAACGACCGAGCTTTCTGACGTTCCGTTGTGACCCAGGAGGATGAAGACATCATAATCTTCATTATCCAGTCCATGAAATAAGATGATGCTGGAAAGTAGCATTATGGAAATGCTCTGCACAGCCTATACAATGCATGTCAAATTGGAGTTAGGATGATTCGCCACTGACTTAATCCCCAGGTCAATCCCAGTTGACATAATCCCCCGGCGAGGCCCGTTCCCAGTTTTATTGCTGTTGTGGACCTCTTGCCCTTCTCCTGTACGCGTGGTCATTTATTTTATTGTCCGTGTTCTTCTTTGGCAGAATAGCCGAGACCATAACATGTGAACTAGGGCCTAGGAACAACTGTGGGAGGCGAGGGTGGAAACGGGAATCCCTATTGGATGGATGCAATCAAACCCGCTGGTTATTTTCCTTCCCAGGTTCGCTCTGTTTCCCCCTGGATACCTGTTTTCCCGGCTGGGCTTTGGGCAGTATCCGTTTTGCGGAGTTATAAGAAACCGCATTCCCAGTTCCATCTTGGTTGTCTCCTTTCTCTTTTCATCACATCGACAAATTGACATTCGTTATCTGCTCCAATACTGTCGTTTTAAGATCATCAAAAGTCTTCCACTTTTGTTTATATACATACACTTTAACACATTCAAGATGCAGTTCTCTCACGCTCTCATTGCTCTTGTTGCGGCCAGCCTAGCAAATGCTCAGCTCCCTAATATCCCACCTTGCGCTGTATGTTAATTCCAACCTTAAAAGAGATAGATGGTGTCCTTGGTTGTGAGAGGCTGACTTGGGGGTGAATAGTTGAGCTGTTTAGTTGATGCTCTCGGAAACGACGGGTGCTCCCAGCTGACCGACTTCGAATGCCACTGCAAGAAGCCTGAGTTGCCCGGAAAGATCACTCCTTGCGTTGAGAAATCTTGCGACGTTGCTGCCCAAAGCTGTAAGGCCTATAAAAACCACCTGGTTCCTACCATCCTCTAAACACTGAATCATGTTTTAACCTTTATTCCCAGCCGTCTCCAACCTCGTTATCAAGCAGTGCTCGTCCGCTGGTGTTCCCATCAAGCTCCCACCGATTGGGGGTGGTGGCACTACCACCTCTGACCCCTCAGTGCCTACCACCAAGCCCACTGGAAAGCCAACCACTACGTCCCCTAGTTATCCTACCACCAACCCAAGCGAGGGGCCAACTGTATCCAGAATCCCATCTGGCACCGGCTCAAAACCCGTGCCCACCTCCACCCCCACTACCAGCCGCCCAGCTGAGTTCCCCGGCGCTGGTTCCAACCTCAACGCCAATATTGGAGGCGTTGCTGCCGCTCTCCTTGCCGTCGCTGCTTACCTGTAAATTATGTCATATGATATCGGAACATCATAGACCAACGATGGGAGGGCATTTATTGATTGTTTGATTATGTATTCCCCAGCGTCGTTGCCGTTGCTTTTAATTTAACTCCCGTTTCTTATGTATCTACTCTCTCCGTTTCAAGTATATCCAGGGCTATTTATATTCCCCTTTGTGGACTAGGACCGCCCTGAGATACAAACACTGTTCCTTTCATACCGTCACTCCCCTGGGAGTGTTCATTCTGGCTGTCTAAGTTGGTTTTTCTTTTGCTTAGGGCGCCAGTTCTCATAATACGCAATCAGTTCATCCTGTGTTTCCGATATACGCCTCGAATTTCATGGAACGAGTATGTTAATCAAGTGCAAACGCGGTGTTGTGATATTCACAATTTTTATTCCCTTCAATTTTTCAAGACATTTTCATATTTCTTTGCGCATTTTGATTCGTCTACATTCCTTCATCTATGTATATCATATTTCATTTGGAATGTTTTGCGCATTTAACATTCCCCCTTAATATTGTCCACATTTTCTCGGAGTCAATACTCGTGTCAATAGCACGGGTGCACCTGAAGATGAAACGAAATGAAAAAAGAGAAAAAGGAAAGAGAAAAAGAAAATAATAATTCATTCATCCTTTACTGTTTGTTCTTAAAGAAATAGTAGAAGTCAACATGTAACTATTGTTCTCTACCTGAACTACCTGAAAGTTCTATGTTTCATTCATACTGTTGGGAGGGTTGCAATTCCTTTTCGTTATGGTGGGACAGCATAAACATGGTCTCTCTCAGGTATTAATGGATCAGTGGGATAGGAGTAAGAGTCGAGATCTGCCGACGTGTCAATGCAGCCACCCAACCGTTCAAGGGACAATCTGGGAGATCTTGGTCTAGAGTCTGAGATCGTAAGATGCTATGCATGTATGTATCTTGTAACTCTGTCCCCCTTAAGTCAATTGTTCGTTGCACGGGAAAATTTACAGCCAAGGGTGTTCTAACCAGTCGTTTAGACATAACTATCCTCCCACTTTTGCGTATCGATCTAGAAGCTGGCGGAAATCTTGCGATTGACGAGCCCATTTGATATGATCAAATTAATTCTCCGAACAGGGAGGAGAACGGTGCTCACTGGTCAAAGAGATTCTTCCCCCCCCCCCGGTCCCCCCGTCGAGCTAGTTGGCTATGTGATTTAGTGAAGAGATTGATTGAGTTTCGAAGTGGCTCGGCAAGACGACATCGGCTGGCTTGTTGTTTCGGCATCCCGATATAGTGACTCCGTCCTCGTTTATCCCGTAGGTAAACCACGCCCCTTCAATAGGGCGTAGCTAATTAAACAAAATTCAAAAAGCGAAGATGAAAAGACCAAAGCCAATGCATGTGCGGCCCATGAAAGTCGTCCTCGTTTGTTGCATAAAAGCCTCGGCGTCGAGGTTCAACCTCCAAGCTGTCAGAAAGAGGCTAAATAGTATTAACTATTACTTGATTGCTTTTTCTCCCTCTTTCAACTATGGAACTAGCTAACTAACTGGATGTTTGTTTCAGGGATTTGCAAGCCACATCCATGAATTGAATTGCTTTTCTTAAGATTCAACCAACCTTCAATTCTAAGGAAACAAGCACCAGAAAGACGGAGACAAAACTCTCCTATACACAGACATGTGGCAGCTGATATAGAGATGGTCTATGGTAACTAGTTATGGCCGAAAAAGTGTTGATTGCGTGATGACTGTGTGGACTTCATTTCCCAGGTGTGGAGCACTTTTTTGTTATATGTTCTGCCAATCAGCCAGTCCACTGAACACGGAGGAGGAGCATGAGGTCTTCCTAAACACCGTTCACCTGATATTTCCAAGGTCCGGATTTTTGATTTGGCTGGCGTGTTTGAAAAGCCAGAGGAAGAAACTCTTTTAGTTTATGGTGATGCGAAAAAGTATTACACAGCTCAAGTGGAGGAATTTTCAACAGCAAATATCAAATTTGTTGGGAGATTCGGAACCGGAAGGTCATCCACTGTATCACTTGGCAATGATCTAGAGTATGTAGGTACAGTATATTTGCCTTGTTGTCAATGTTGAGAATCGTAATTTGATGAGCTAACCTCATTTTATGGTTTGCCCTGGCTCAACTAGTGAGACGTCTGGGGCTGAAGCTTTGCGTTTCCCATTCTTCCTCTGCAAAAGAAACCCACGAGATTAGAATTCAAAGTCTTTGAGTTCTGTTCAACCGGACTCTGATCATGCTGTGGGACTCTCCTCTCAGCTAGTTATGTGACTCATTTGCTATGATCGGACTGCATATACGTACTTTGTTGAACGGTCGCTGGAATTGACCACAACTCGGCGCTCTGATTATTAAGGCATTGCAGTCTTTGTTATGGCAAATTCTTCTATGTATTGATTTTCAACTCAGACTTTGATCATACAGGATTTGATTAATACGAATGCAATGTGGGAAGCTCACCTGCTGACGCATTTACAGATCTTCGGTCTGAAAATCTGATTCCAGAAATCAGTGTTCAAACGAAACTGAGTTGATATATCCCATTCTGAGAAAGTTCTGAACAATCACATCGTCTATCGGCTCATCCCCCGTACGGATTGTACCTCTTACACCTGATTTTTAACGAGGACCGGTTTTCCAGATAGAGATGATACAGTGGCTTCCTATACCAAATGTCCCGCCGGAGGTAATTCGTTCCCATCTCTGACCCATCTCCCTCAAAATGCTTGTAGAGTATATCGAAGGAGAAAACAAAATGGGTTTCCACAGCTCCTTAGAAGGATTCTACTCTGTTTACCTGAGGAGAGCCCACTGCTTAGGAGCTCAGATATGAATCCTAGCTAATACAGGCCTTTAACCTGGGGGCCTACGCGCTCGATACACGGATTGATAGCTGTTTCTTTCGCAAGGCAATTACTTCATCCTCAGGTTTACAGGGTCCGCGCAGTCTCCCTCCACTTACTATACGGTCTTCGAGTTATTAGTTTGTTACCACAAATCCCATTTTAATCCCTACAACAGTTCAAAATGGTATGGCTCTTTCGACTTGTTTCCACATCACGGACTTTGCCTAAATGTTGTGAAATTTATGCCAACAGGACTCACTCCACTCTTCATAAAATAAAATCATCTAAGTTCACGCTTTTACAGATTCTGCAGATATGACTCAGGGATCTCAGCTGCAGAACCACGGGCAACATAACTCCTTGAGTACTGTCAATATGAAGCCCAACCTTAAGGGATGGGATAAAACGCATGTTTCCTGCGGATCTGTTACTGTCTGTGCCATTTATGTCACGCATTTTGTGGACTGCTTTCCACTGCAGCAGGGCAAGCTGAACGATGAATGATGCATTAAACTCTCTAGATATAAACCTTGATACCTTCGGAGGAAGCACTCCTCTGGCTCCAGCCCGGTGAAATAAGATTGTTTCAGCTGGGATAATTATTATTTCACACTGATTACTTAAAGATATGAGTGATACTACTAATGCTAATGATATTGCTATCCATAATACCCAAAGTATATGGCTTTTCCTTTCCAAGCAAATGGCCAAAAGAGAACAAAGAAAATCAAGATTCATAAAACTGTTCTCATCTCACAAACACATCAAGCAACAAAAGATATACCAGAAGAATAAATCCTACAGGATGCAAGGTGCGGATCAGTCTCAGTCGCTCAATCGCTTATGCCTGTGGAACCGCATCGCGCAACAAGTACACCAGAGTGTGCCCTCAGGTGCCTCGTTACCAGCTACCCAATGGATGGAGTAGCCACCCCCATTGCCTTCGTGAGGGTATGCAAACCAGTTTCCACTATATGAGTCGTCTTTAGGGGTTTGGTCATAGACGACCTGAGGACCACCACAATGGATGCCACAGCCAGCGCCTGTGGCAAAGAAGCCATCCAATTTGAAACTGGCCTGGAGCTCTCGGTGAAATTTGAGGTTGTGATAGCCGGGTGTGGGATGACCGGTGACGGGCTCCAAGAAGAAGAATTTCTGCCGGCTTTCGCGCGCTTTCATTCTGCCTTTAGGGTTGGGGAGGATGTACTATTCGTCACCATTAGCATATATATGAATTTACATACGCGTGCGTGATGCAGAAGAAGGACTTACAGCTGTAAAATCTTCTGCGTCTGTGGATCCAACGACGACAGTATCGTCTACAATCTGGAGCTTGCTGTTAATTTTGGGGGTGGTGCCTCTAGGTATAATGGCGCTCAGCATGAAAGAGGAAATCTTGGGATGCCTATCTTCAGTGGTACCAGCAGATGAGAAAGATGAAAGGATGGTGAGGGCAAAGCCCACATATTCAAAAACAAATCTCATCCTGGTTATCTATATGTAGCTTGGTGAAAATTGTGGTTGCGGAGAACTTGAATGGAGATCCGCAATTATGCTGAAGAGGAAGCTGAAGAGGGGAACCAATTCGTCGAGAGACGAATTTCATCGACAAAGTGTAGGCAAGAAAATGAATGATTAAAAGTACTTATTGAGAATACTCGCACGGAGGAGGTTGTAACTAGTTCTTTGATGGTCAGGGCTCAAGGCGGTCCAATGTCACACAGTCCACCCCCGACCGTATGCATGACGTCCACGTACTGCATGGCTTGCGCCATGAGATGACGGGCCATAGTGTTTGCAGAAACCTATTTGTATATGCGGTATTTGCGAAAAAGTTTCAAACAGCTTGGGAATAATGGGGCCTGGTTTGCTTGACGAGTTTAGCCGACTCCATGATTTGAAGACCACGCAGCAGATTTGCTTTTTCTAAAAGCGGAATGATGAAGCTGGCTGAGATAGTGGTGCTGGCGAAATGAGATCTCTTCGAACGAATCTTCATGGAGACGTTGAGACACGGGTCGTTCTTGTGAAGCTAGTTCCTGATGGGAGCTATTTTTATTTCTGAAACCGATCTCCTGAATGATAGGCCCGTAAACTGAGAGGCTTTGCAGCTTCGCTTACTCCGAAACTAGCGGTCTGGGCGTATCCAACGCCCGTGGATTTGTGGCAGAGGCACCAGAGTCCGTGTCGGCTCGATTCGACCTCCAGCTTACCTGCTTGCATGGAAAATGGGTTGCAGTGTCTTCCAGGAACAAGCTTTGACAGGGTGACGGAATAATAGAGTATCCAGCAACAACGCTGACAGCTTTAATAATTCGCAGTGCCCCTGAGCCCAACCTCTGAGCTCATTCACTATCCATCAATCTATCCATATCAGCATGTCTGTCAGTCATTCTGATGAAAGCGTTCATGTGTCGCCTGAGACGTATCAGAGTGCCAGGGAACCAAGACTTACTGCATGAGTTTCTCTGGCGAATATACGGTGTAATGATGAGAGCATTGATGGTACGTCTGAACTCCAATTACCCATTGGGGTAGTCTTGTATATATTGATGATGCGGTTAACTAATTGAGTGAAAGGGCTAACTTTTTATACTGTTGTATTATATCCTATCTCTGAAGGGGACTGACTACAAACCTTGGAAATGTCAATCTCAATCTAAAGTTTTATCCGGTGGCCATCGTCAACTTTGAACAAGTCTAGTATTTTTCACCAGGTCTCGTCGACCGCATTGCTAGGTTGATATCTGTACAGAGAATGGATTGGGACGGCCGCTGAATTAACCAATATGTTAAAAGCCAGCGAAAGCGGTTGATAATGAACAATGTTTTGTTATGATGTGCACAATTGTTCTTCTCTGGCAACCAGAAAGACCATGTTAAAATTTTTGAATCAACTAGCTGGGAAGAACACAAGAGAAAAGCTGTCCGCTATCATACGGAGTAGACTCTGATATGATCCAGCGTAGCTTATGTTGAAGTGTGGTTATTTTTCTTGGTTTCCCTTGAACAACATTGTGGGCAATGAACAGATATGTCAGAGCTCTACACTTGACCCCTAGGGAAGATGTCGAGAACGGATACTTAGCCTGATTCGGTCCCAGAGCCTTTAGTTTCAGAGTCCATACAGGCACCATGGGGAGTAATTCCTTGACTTTCTTCCTTTAGGTCATGTAGCCCCTCCTCTGCGCACCCTCACCAGCGACCTGCCGATCGCTTCTCTGCCATAGAGTCTCTTCGGCGAGATATGATACAGACACATTTTTTCATTTCCTATTTACACAAGCTCTATACCTAGTCATTTAGTACATAGCAGCATTTCCAACTATATACAAATTTCTTAGTGGAATAATGCCTCATATGCAACCTTCCAAATCTCCCAACCAAGGTACCCCTGACAAAATCCAAAGTTCCACTACTTTATGAACAATTCCGCTGCCCTTCACTGTAAGTTCAATGTCCTTATTTACATACAAATTTTAGTATAACCAGTAACTCATAATTTATTGTGTAAGGTCAAATTCCATCCCAAATCGGGTGTCACCCGAGGATTCTGGGATTTTAGTGAATCAGGAGATTCAGAAGAAACTTGAGAGGACGGGTTTCAACAGCCTTACAAATGTTTTCTTTCCACTAGGAAATTTGTAAATAATGAAAAACACTGCTATGAGCTAAATGGATATAAAACCTGTATGGGTAGTGAATAACCTGTGGTCGAGTCATCTCCCCTCGTGGCGCGGCAGCAAGGTTAAGTTGGGGGGAGAAAAGGAAGAACCCATTCTTTTCCTTAACTTCACCATTTGCGCTATACGAGAAATCCATAAGAGACCCAAGACCCGAAAATCGAATATGAAAATAGTGACAGGTGTTACCTGATTTGTTGGAACAGAGGTCACACGTCTGGCTCTCCGCAATCAAGCTGTTACCTCCGTGGTGGCGCCTGTTCAAAGCACCTGAGAGTGCTGGGCCCGACGCGGACATATCCAAGCTGCAGTCTGTTATCCTCACCGACTGGACAGCGCCGTATCCTGAGTCTGTGAAGGAGCATCTCAAAGGCGTGGACGCATGCATCTGGTTTGCAAACCCATAAACCTGGGCATCAATACCACTGGTCTCAGGCGTCTTCTTAGGACCATAGCAGTTACGCCGTCCAAGTCCATTAATATGATCTTCACAGACATCACCAAGACCTGTTATGATTACACCATCAATGGTCTTTGCAACGTGGCCGCTTGTCGCCATCAATCCCTTCCGCCCCGTCCACACATCTGGCGTCACGGTAGAGAATGACCAGTGCAAGTCCCCCTCATTTCTGGTCGACTACCGTCCAATACGCGTTGGTTACCTTGCTACCTTCCTCCTTCTTAGTCAACTCGACTGACTAGCAAGCACAGGGCCACGTTGAGAACGCAATATTTTGGATTTTTCCAAGCAACGCGAACCAGTTGTACAGGCTCCTGTCATCTTGCCTGGAGGCATCGAAAGCCCTAACTACCCGAACACTGATGTATCAACTAGTTTTTGCCGCCAACTCGGCACGCAACTTGGGTTCATGTGTCAAAGCTTGCCTCGACTATGATTGATCAGTGTATAAATGGCATCACAAAAGATCCCCTATGGGGTGAGAATGCGGAAGAGATTGGATCTCGCATATTCCGTAAGGAGGATTATATAGGATATGGGGCTGGTTCACTTTAAAGTATGGGTTTTCACTCAGAACCTTGCCAAATCCATTGAGCTTTCAACTAGATCACCTGTCGCGTCTTTATAGTCAAAGTTGGAACACTATGTTTTTGCATATTTCATTAGCTCTCTCAAGTGCGGTCGCATTGAGGTCTGCGTCACAGGCGTGCCTTAATGTTGCGCCATGGACATGCTGTTTCATCGAGTTTGCCTGTATATGTCATCTGGAAGGCGAATAATATCGATTCCTGGCTGAATGCAGATCTTAAAAAGTTTACGTACAATTCTAGCCATATCATCATTGGTAGTGGGCTTGACGACTACGAGGCAGCTTTGGATCAGCATAATTGGACCATCGATGCGAAACTCCAAATGGAAAACCGATCTTGCGCGGATGATAAAGTATAATGGTAAGTAATTAGGGGCGTCAAGTTTTTATGACTTTGGGGCAGTCGGATGTAGAGATTGTTGTGCGGGTGGGCGAAGAGGCTAGGATTAGTCAAGATTGACTAATGTGGAGGTGAAGGTTAGGAGAAGGTTGGGTGGGTGGCCGGAGTGAGTACCTCGCTTTGGCCAATATGCCATATGAGGATGATATCAAAATACGTTGATGGGAACTGGGGGGGAGGATGGGACGGGGGAGATTCAGAGTTAGAAGTGGAATAATGAGGTGGTGGCATGACTTCTGGGGAACAACATTCGGGTTTTGCTTTTCGGGGAACTCGCAAGACATCGGCTACATAATCTCGGGGTCGGGATCGGGATGGGTCAACAAATGGTCCGTGCGCTCCCGCTCCCGCTTCCGAACCTTATTTCGCCCGAATCTTCGTCGGAACACGGGAAGGACAACGCAGATGAAAGCTGAAGTTAGGAGGCTGCTGAAGTCGGGAAGTATGTAAAGAGTTTGAAGTTTCTTGATTATATTAACTTCTTCCGGAAGCAGGTACACATTTGTTACCACTCCTGGATGAACGGGGCAAGCTGTCGTAGCTTGCCGTTTCAGCCGGAAATTCAGAATGGAAATGCCAATTCCAACGCAATATACCACCGACAAAGAATGCTATGGAAAAACATCGCCGCATTTCGATAATATTTTTTCCTTCATTTGCCGTGAGTTTTGCCTTCATTGCCTCCACAGCCCTCATATATCGCCTAATGGAGCACGTGGGAAAAGAAAATAACACGGCCCATATCGTAAATATTGCCAATATACTTAAAACAAACGACCACAGTTGACATTACTGCAAACACATACGAGGTATTGAAAGTGTATATTTGTATTTAACTTCTCCGTGGCCACTTTACCCTGCATTTTTGAGAGTATAATTTTGACAAATATAAGAAGATTGCTAGTAACCAGGCAAAATTGCGCTTGAAAACGCTTGGTACCATGTCAAACCAGACATATACTCCTAAAATATATGATTCATCGAAAACGTGGAAGGGTTAAATCTGTAGGGAGAGTGAAGTCGACATCGGTGAGAAATTCCGCGGTAAAGTTGTTCTACTCTGCTCATTGAATCACTCTTTGGTTTAGCCCCACCGCTTTAACGGATGCCAAAATCACTCTTGTGGACGATGAGCCACGAATTTACCTGGGAGCCACTGAGTTCGTTATTGAGGTATCTGGTGGGCTTTTCTGCACGGAACAGGAGGTTACCAGACTCGAACCGTCGCGGGACTTAGGGTTTGGCCAGGACTGGAAAGACTTCGTTCTGGTGGAAATGGAGGTGATAACCTCTTCAGGAGAGGTTGCATGGGCATCATCGCAGCACATTCCGTATCGGGGCATATTACAGAATAATTGGATTAACAGCAATTCGAGGGCTTGAGAATAAGTTATTCACTCCTGCTGAGATGGTTTTCATTGATCTCGTCGATGTGGCTGACGATCCGACCTTGGAGGCTCAGATCTTTTAATGATTAATCCTTCTTTTAGCCAGTTGGTTGAATAACATAACCACTCATGCTATGTAATCTACACTTCACAACCTCCCTGCCTGTAACGGCAGCCATTTGGTTGGGGGTTGGGGAGGCAAACCAGATAACTTCTGCATGTCAACCAACCTTGAATGCAACCTATCCTTCCCAACCCTGCCAGTGGTGAGAGCCGCGAGAAGTGAACGAGTTTGACATTGCATGTCGACCAACGTTGACTCTTGAGTCGTTTACGGGAGCCCCCTGGTCTGGTAATTGGCCCGATGAGGACTTAGATACACGCATTGTTGCATGGATATACTCCCGTCCCCTTCTGACGAACCTCATCCCGTTAAGCTTGAAGGGCTCAGCCCATTCATCCATACCATGATGCATAAAAGTCATGATCGCCCTGATGATGTTCATATCCCGTAGGAATTAAGCTTAGTTTCTCTCTCTTTCTCTCCATATCTTCACAGTTTGCAGTTGATTTCTCCACTTCTCTATCGTGGAAAGGACGTGCAGATGCGCCCTTGTGGTAACATCAATCACCCTCCCAGCAACGGGTCTGCCTGATGGGTTCGCAAAATTCGGACCTGGGAAGACTTTATCGAGGATAATCCACTGGAAGACGAGAAGACGACATCGACTTTACTTTGGATCTCGTGGCTTGCCCCTTAGTTACAGTTGACAGGAGGAGGCGCGGGTGGATTTCAACGACCGTATTCCGCTCAGCCGTATGCCCCTTCTAATTTCCCAGGTTGCGGCTTATATTAGCCAAAGATTTCCGGGGGTTGCAGTCTCGATGTACGAAGATGAATGCCGAATAAGCGACGAAGCAAGGACAAGGCTGCTGGAGAACGATGCAGGGACGGTACTTCCTCGAACTCTATCACCACCTGGCAGATATCGCTTGAGCACATCCTCAAGACGGCCCCTAGAGCTGTTCTTCTGTTATCCCTCATGAGCTTTTTTGACCGACAAGAGACTCCATTTGGTGGAAGTCTATCAAGACTAAGGGAGGGGGTTAAAGCCGAGGATTTGAGTAGGAAATTGGTAGAGATACGCAGTAAAAGCAGTAAAAGGAAAAAAAGAAGAAAGGAAAAGGCAAGGCCGGAGGACTCAAATGACCAACCTCAATATTCTTACATTCTTTGAAAGCTAGGTCGTAGCGTTGAGGCTTTGGAGTTGCCCAAGTCCGTGTCAAAACTAGAGAACCAAGATGTGTATCGAATGGCTGAATATGATGAAGCAAGATTAGGACTTCGCTTTATTTATTGAATCTATGTAAGTAGTTATGTTCTAATTCCAACAGAAAGGAAAGATACAAAAATAAAATTATCTGTCACCCGTACCACGTTTTCCGTGTATGTCATTTTTATTTTAATTTATGCATCCTCATATATCATTTTCAGCTAAGTCTTTTTCCATAAAAACTATCAACCAGGAAGAAAACACAAAGAAACAGAATTGATAGCATTAAATATTTTCTTTTTTTTTTTTTTAAAAAAAAAAAAAAAAAAAAAAACAAAGGCAAATAGATAAGGGGGCATCAAGGGAAAAACAGACCCTCCAAATCATCAAATCAAGTCAAATCAAATCAAACATAAAAAGAAGAGGGAAACCTACGCCGCTCCAAATTCCTTAACATCGGTCTTCTTCCCCAACAATGCCAACGGCACGATCCCACTAACATGCATCTCTGGCCCATAAACATGCATATCCAACCCCAACTCCTCGCCCACAGCCTTAATATTCTTCAGGCCTTCCTGGTAATTAGGCCCAGCCCGCCTAACCCAGATCTGTGTCTTATGCTCATTCAAGATAGGCGCCACCTCCCTCAGCGCCCGAATAACCCCCTTGAACGTCGATGCGACGTTCGTGAAATTCGCAATCCCACCACCAATGAACAGGACCTTCCCATCCGGATGCAAGGGTGCGCGCAGCATCAGATCCAGGATGGTGCGTGCGTAGTTGAATGTCTGCGTTTCGGTGGGTGCGCCGGAGTATTCTCCGTAGTTTGCGAGTTCGGAGACGAAGCCAGCGGACGCGATGGCGTCGGCGTAGACGACGGATGCACCACCGCCGGCGACGAGGGTCCAGATGCGTCCGTTCGGGTTGAGGACGGTGAGTTTAAGCGACGAGCCTGTCTTGGCGTCCATGTCTGCGATGAATTTTTCTTCCTTGCTAAGCTCGCGGCCGAAGGGGGCGGGGAATTCCATGGGCGGCCCCGCGTCGATGGTTACTTTGCCATCCGTATTGGTGGCCTTGCGGATCCCCAGAGCGGCGGGGCTGCGGGCAATGGCCCATTTGGTACCGCATTCGAATTCGGCAGTTTGGTCTAGTTTGGCGGCTAGGTCAAGGAAGTGCACTGCTGCGGAGGTTTTGGAGGGATTGGGAATGACAACGAGGGGGTTGATTTCGAGATAGGTGAATTGGCAGTCGACGTAGACGGCGTAGAGGCGGGTGATGAAGTCGACGAGCACGTTGTGGAGGCCCGAGGGGATTTTGCTGAGGAGGGCAGAGGCGATTTCGTCGTTGGAGGGGTAGTTTGCGAGATTGACTGGGATCAAGAGCTTTTCTGCCTTGGCGTCGACGTCGCCGACATCTACGCCGCCTTCGTGGGTGAAGAGGATCCAGTCGCCCTGTATAAATACATAATTCGATTAGTATTTATAGATTTGGTCTTTGTTTTTGATTTTAATATTTTTTATTTTATATTATAAACCAAGGGGAGATAATAAAGTGTGTATATATATCTATCTTACCTCTCGTACGGAGTTGATGTTGATATAATATTCCGTTTCTTGCGGGTGAGGCACAAATGGTTCAACGAGGAACTGCCTCAGGACACCCGTAACAGTCTCAACCTTCTGCTCCTTGCCTGCGCGCTCAGCAATCCATGCTCTCGCTTCAGGCCAGGTCCTGTCCAGAGCAAGCAGGCCACTCTTGCCCCGCCGCTTGATCAATTGGTCTGGTTTTGCGACGAGGCGGATATCCTTTGCGAGCAGCCAGGGATAGGTGCTCTCAGCCTGGTCGAGGATGGCGTCAACAGAGGCATCTTCGGGGAAGTAGAGGGAGGCGAGCTTTGGGGGGGGATTGTGGGTGGATGGGGGGGGTAGAGGGGAGGATTTGATGACGGGGCTTCTGGTGAGGTGGTAGTTGAGAATGGCCTTGCCATCCGCTTCAAGGATTGACTTGGCAGACATGGTGATGTGTATAGCTATAAGTGATCGATCTCTAGTTGGGGGGATGTATGCGTTTGTGGTATGCGGTATATTAGGATATATAAGGAGAGAGAATGTGTGTGGTTATTGTGTCTGTCTGTTCTGTATGTCGTAGTTAAATATGTGCATATGAAGTGGTTTGTGTTGGGCGTTGAGCTGAGCTTGCGGAAGCTGGCGCCTGACTAAGCCTGCCGTGGGTTGAGGCTGTTGTTGGGGAGCCCGGTAACTGCCGAGTCTTGGGGATATATATTTATCTAGCTAATTACTGAGGCATACGAATCCCCGGCCTGGTCTACCGGGGCTTCTGGGGTTCAGTTGGTTTCCTTGGCTTGCGCAGGGTGGGATAAGGTGGATGTTTTGGGATATTTTTAAACAAAGGTTGGTTGAGAAAGAATTCTGTCTAGCGTTGTTGTGCCCCCTAATAAATACACTCTAGATACGAGTGTGTGCAACTATTGCCTGGAATGAATTGAATAAGAATGCAATTTAGGATTCTTAACAACAATCAGCAAATCAAATTGACAATATCTATCCTCTGCATAAGTAGATATATTTTATATAATATATATACTCTGAATATCTTCCCGGCTTTTTGTTGTTTGTTTTGGGTCCTTTGTTCAGCGGTGACGTCTTGCAGCTGCTTAGGTACAACTGAATCATGGAGCAAGCAGGTAACCCCGACAGCCTAGCCCTGTCCCATGTAGTTAGTTAGTAACCTTCGCTCCCCATACTCTCTAGGTCAACTCGCGAGGGTAAGTTGATTGGCGTTCTCATCCATTGGGGAGCGGCTAGCTCGATCTGGTTAGTGCCCGCCAACTCGGAGGGAGGTGTCTCAAAGCGGAAGGAGAGGGACAGCCCAGCTAAGCTACGTTGCAAGGAGTTGTGTGTGCACCTGCCGCAAGTTTGGCAGCTCAACAAACACCAAAAATACACCTTCCCCCAGGGCCAAGTTCAAAAGTCCGGGTCCAACTTCAATTCATTCTTATTTTCTTCAACTCTCCAACTTTTCATTCTTCATTCTTCTCTCTTCGTATCCAGCCCAGACCAAGGTGGCCAGCCATTGAACTCTTTGTTTGTTTTTGTCTTGCTCAGTCCATTTCTTTTCGACATTGGATATCTCCTTGTGTCTAGACGTTGCTGCTGTGCGTTTCATTCCTCTGCGCTTCCAAGGGGTGGCCTGTCCTGTAAATTCCTCCCAGCAGACTTCCAAGGCAGACGAATATAAATAACTACAGCCAACTACGCATACTTCTATCCCAATACAATAACTAACCTGATATCTCTTCCCTCTAGCTTCTTCCATCGCCATCATGCCTTCTGCTGCTCCCCTGTCCAGCACTGCCAATGGCAACCTCTCCGCAAACGACAATATACGTCGCTTCGCCGCCCCAAGCAGACCCCTCACTCCCCTAGAGCACACCCTCTTCCACGACAAGACACGATGCTTCGTATAGTACGTCTCAATATCTCTCCATATTATTTCACTCTACTACTATTTACTGTTACATAACCCAACGCTGGAACTGGTTACTAATTAGCTATGCTTGCAGTGGTATGCAACCCCGTGCCGTGCAGGGAATGCTCGACTTCGACTTCATCTGCAAGCGATCTACCCCCTCCGTAGCCGGCATTATCTACACCTTCGGCGGCCAATTCGTCAGTAAGATGTATGTCAATTATCCAAATGTCCAAAAACATCTGTTTGCTAAATATAGCGCTATAGGTACTGGGGAACGAGCGAGACCCTGCTCCCCGTCTACCAGGAGGTCGAAAAGGCCATGACAAAACACCCAGATGTCGACACTATCGTCAACTTCGCCTCGTCGCGAAGTGTCTACAGCTCCACCATGGAACTCATGCAGTACCCCCAGATCAAGTCAATCGCCATCATCGCTGAGGGTGTCCCAGAAAGAGTAATGCGCAAACCATTCCCTCGTATATACATATCCTTGGAATATATACTAACCCGGATTATAGCGCGCCCGAGAAATCATGGTAGCTGCGAAAGAAAAAGGGATAACCATCATTGGCCCCGCGACTGTCGGAGGCATCAAGCCTGGTGCCTTCAAAATTGGCAACACTGGCGGCATGATGGACAACATTGTCGCATCTAAACTCTACCGCAAGGGCTCAGTGGGCTACGTCTCTAAATCTGGAGGCATGTCCAACGAGCTGAACAATATCATCTCCCAAAACACTGATGGAGTCTATGAGGGTGTCGCTATTGGAGGCGACAGATATCCTGGAACCACATTTATTGACCATCTCCTGAGATACCAAGCAGATCCAAAGTGTAAGATCCTCCTGCTCCTGGGTGAGGTCGGTGGTGTTGAAGAGTACCGCGTCATCGACGCTGTGCGCGACGGCACCATCACAAAACCAGTTGTCGCGTGGGCCATTGGAACCTGCGCAAGCCTGTTCAAGACAGAAGTCCAGTTCGGCCACGCTGGCGCCTCCGCCAACTCTGAACTCGAGACTGCAGTCATGAAGAACAAATACATGAGAGAATCTGGCATCCACGTCCCAGACACCTTTGAGGAACTACCCCGGGTCCTCGCGGACGTCTACAAGAAGCTCGTCAAGCAAGGAACCATCAACCCCGAACCTGAACCTGTCCCACCCAAGATCCCCATTGATTACGCCTGGGCCCAGGAACTCGGCCTCATCCGTAAACCAGCCGCATTCATCTCTACCATCTCTGACGACCGTGGCCAAGAACTGCTGTACGCCGGGATGCCCATCTCAGATGTGTTTAGAGAAGACATAGGAATTGGAGGCGTCATGTCGCTGCTGTGGTTCCGTCGCCGTCTCCCCATCTACGCTAGCAAGTTCCTCGAGATGGTCCTTATGTTGACGGCTGACCATGGTCCCGCTGTATCTGGCGCCATGAACACGATCATCACAACTAGAGCTGGAAAGGATCTTATCAGCGCTCTGGTATCTGGTCTGTTGACGATTGGCTCGCGGTTTGGTGGTGCTCTGGATGGCGCTGCGGAGGAGTTCACAAAGGCATTCGACAGGGGCCTTAGTCCCCGCGATTTCGTTGATACCATGCGCAAGGAAAACAAATTGATACCAGGTATCGGCCACAAAGTAAAATCCCGTTCCAACCCAGACCTTCGCGTCGAACTCGTCAAGGAGTTCGTACACAAAAACTTCCCAAGCCACAAACTCCTCGACTACGCCATCGCCGTCGAAACCGTTACGACTTCCAAGAAAGACAATCTAATCCTAAACGTCGACGGGTGCGTGGCTGTATGCTTTGTTGATTTGTTGCGGAACTGTGGTGCGTTTAGCCCCGAGGAGGCGGAGGATTATCTGTCTATGGGTGTGCTGAATGGGTTGTTTGTTTTGGGGAGGAGTATTGGCCTCATTGCGCATTTCTTGGATCAGAAGAGGCTGCGGACTGGTCTTTATAGGCATCCGTGGGATGATATTACGTATTTGCTGCCGACGTTGCAGAAGGGTGCGCCGGGTGCGGAGGGAAGAGTTGAGGTTAGCATGTAATTTGGCTGGGAAGCTGCTTTCCCCCCAACCCTTTAACAGCGTGGTCGATTGGGGAGAGACAAATACGGATTTTTCTTCTGTGATGGTGGTGCGAATAATATATTTATTTTATGCTCTACACCTTTTTCTCCTTTACATTTTACACTTTACATTTTGGTTGTATGTTTTTATTTGCTTTTCTTTGTGGTGGAGTGCTGGGATAACTATTTGAAAATAAAATGATGACTTATGCGTTTTATTACAAGGTTGTTCATTTGCTTTCTACCAAGCTCTTTTGACACTGTTGTTTTTTCTCTGGTTGTTTTGAGTGATAGATATATTAGCGAAACCCGAGGGTGACGCTTTAAAAAGTCGTCAAAGTGTCAGTACTAATCCAGGAGTAGAGATTAGATAAACGCATAACTATTTCTGTTGATTGACTTTTCCTTTCATTCCAGATATCTCCCCTTCAATCTCATGCTATACGAATTCTCGAGTGCTGCTTAGGTATATTAAAGGGTCTCCGCACATCTCCGCAGTCTCAGGCGCGGAAAGTTAGGGCTCTACAGTCGTAAGGTAAGCTTTTCTTCCAAGTTTCGAATCGCGACGAAATCTTTACAACTAACAAAACTCCGAGCAGAAGTTGTTTATTCTCTCTCTATTGCACTTTCATCTGGGCATAAAGATTGCGGGTACGTGCAGATACGGATCCTGACATAAAAAAAAAAATCTATCCGATCCTTTTAACTAGAGCTATTAATAAGAAGACGCTGTTGCTGGAGAGAAGTGCAGTGGAGCATGTTGAATTACATGCGAGAATAATATATATTATATATATATATTAGTTAACGTCCAAAGTCTATTGATCTCTCCTGCGTCAAATTGACTCTTGTCCGCCTGTCATATCCAAACCATTAAATTCCACCCACCCACCACCAGAACAAACAAACACCTCTCCCTCGAAAAACAATGGTCCGCTTCAAACACCGCTACCTCCTCATCGACATCCTCTACCCCCCGTCCTCCGATATCTCCTCCAATACGCCCAGCACAGCCAAAACCAAAACCAAACCCCCGCCGACAAGTACCAGCTCCAGTACTGCAAATGCAAACGCTAACCTGACAACACACCTCCTCATCCACCGCCCGACACCGGATACACTGACACCGCAATCCCTCGCGCGGGCCGTAAGGGAACATATTGCGGAGATGTTTGGTGATTGGGGAATGGGTAGGTTAGGAGGAGGCGGAGCGGGGGGTGTTAGTGGTATGTGTGTTAGGTGTTCTCTTCCTTTCTTCTTTTCTTTTCCTCTCTCTCTCTCTCTCTCTCTCTCTCTTTTTTTTTTTTTTTTTTTTTTTTCCCTTTTTTTCTTTTTTCTCTGGTTTTGTGCTGCTAACATCTGGCGATACGTGAATTAGTAAAATACCTCTCCCCCGCAACATCGACAGCGATAATCCGCTGTCCCCGCGCGAGCTATAGACTTGTTTGGTGCGCACTTACGTATATGTCTCGTTTACCTGCGTCAAGGGGCGGGGGTTGGGGTGGGAGGGCAAATGCGAATCTGCAGATGCAGGATGATTGTGTGTTCCGGGTTGTGAGGGTTTCCGGGACGATGAGAAAGGCGGAGGAAGAGGCTATTTCTAGGGCGAGGAGGGAGGTCGTTAGGATGCGGGGGGCCGGAGAGAAGGGGGGTGGGTTGCTGGAGGGAATGTTTGGGGGGGAAGTTGAAGTGGATGTGGATGTGGGAGAGGATGGAGAGGAAGACGAGAGAAGTGATGAGGATTGAATGGGGAGGTAAATATCATTGGTGAGTACCATCCTTTCTTCTTATGTTCAAACGTATCGTGACTATTATATTCTACTATACATTCATGGCATGAGTCTCGTTTCATTTTCGTGATTTGCGAACGACTTTTATCCACTATTTGGCGGAACAGTCATATATATAGAAATCATCCATATCGATGTCATCCCCACCTCCTCCACCACCACCACCAGGAGCACCAGGCGCATTCTTCCCTGCTTCTTCCCGCACCTTCGCTTCCTCCCACTCCTTCCTCTCCTTCTCATCCCATTCATCCTTCCTATCAAGCCATCTCTCCTGCACATCTCTTATATCCATCACACCCAACCCCTCTCTAACCGCCACCTGCCAGACCGTATCATTTGCCCCTTCCGCCGAACCAAAGGCATAGCCACCCGCCCGATCAATAACATGTAACAAATTCATCATACTCTTCTTATCCTCTACAGCTAGTGTCTCAAAACCTACTAGCCCGAAATCTTGCACAAGCTCGACAATGGCTTGGTTCAACGCGTCAAATTTCGAGTTCATTAATCGGGGAGATTCCTCCTTTAAGTGTGGGAGGAGATAGGATAGGTCTTGGACTTCTGTGTAGAAGTCTAAATTGAAGGGTAAGGGTGGGTAGTTGGAGAGGTTGTCTATTTTTGTGAGGACGTTGATGTGGGGGAGGTCCATTTGGAGCATGGCGCGGAGGGAGAGGAGGAGGGCAGAGATGTACATTGAGGGGAGGGTGAGGTTGTAGGAGTCTATGAGGTGGACTACGACGAGCTGTTGGCAGTACGGGACTAGTTAGTAGTGAAGGGGAGCTTTCATGGAACGGTCAAGATTTTGAGGGATAGGGTGAGAGCACACTCTGTACCCAAGCTTTTGGATCCGGAAGAAGATATTTCGCAGCGAAGAGTGGTGTGTGAAGATCTCGACCTGGCCTGGGCAATCGAACAGGACATAGTCATCTGCATTATATCAAATACATGCACAAATTAGTCACATTCTATGCGCATTCCATTCCCGCAATAGTAACAAATATCATTTTAACAAACCTCCTAACCGCTCCAAACCCTCTTTCAACCAATCGAAATTTGCCTCTATTTCCTCAAGTGCATATAAAACCCCTCCATTTGGGCCCAGCGTATCTTCTGCCATAATTTCCTCCAGAGTTTACCAGCTCGCGCACGTCAAACGCCGGGGTACACGAGGTCTTGTCGTTGGCAGGGTCTAGGTTGACAACTGAGCATTTGCGGCCGATGGCGGACATGAATTGTTGCATGCCATCGCAGTAGGTGGATTTGCCAGAGCCGGGGGGGCCTATTACCAGCTGCGCGAAAGGCATGACCAAATGATATGTGTGCAACTTTGCTTTTAACCTGGGAGAATAACTCCTGGTTAACGGTGTGGAGTGATGATGGAAGTTGAAGCTTTGTTAAACGCGATGATGTCGTTGGGGCGGTGTAGCGGGGCAGAAAACAAGGAGAAAATTCGGGTTGAGAAACAGCTTGCAAAGAACAACCAGACAACAATATCCGAGTCCAACTTTGGGAGAAGCAGGGGACTTTAGATTTTCATTCAATTGCGGATTATTATAGTTGTTAACTCCAATGGCGTCTAGTAAGTTCAATATTTGAAGCAACCCAAAACTACACCTCGATACTGACCGCAAATCACAGCACAATTCGCCCTCGCCTCCCCGCCGACGGACGCCATATCAGCCGTTAAATTCTCCCCAGAGCCAGGCTCAATGCGCCTGGTAGTTTCGTCATGGGATAAAAACGTATATCTATACGATCTACGAGATGAGAATGGAGCCGTGAGCGAAGGCAAACTCCTTCAGAAATTCGAGCATCGAGCACCCGTTCTGGATGTCTGCTTTGGAGAGAATGAGAATGAAATATATACCAGTGGATTAGACTGGGACGTTAGGAGGTGAGTTGCTCACTGTATATATGATATATATGTACCTCCCCTCGGAATACCATTCTGCGAATTAAAAACAGAGCCACCATTAATGGCGGATTCCCCTTACAGGATCGACATCCCGACCTCCACCCAAACAGTCCTCAGCACACATTCCGCCGGCGTAAAATCGGTGGTCTACAGCAAAGAGCACAACCTCCTTGTCTCCGCCTCCTGGGACTCAACTCTACATGTCCACCGCACTAGCACCTCCTCAGACCCCACCAACTCCGCCCCAACAAAGGCACCGATGACCATCCCCCTCCCCGCAAGGCCCTTCTCCCTCTCCCTCTCCCCAACAAAGCTCGTCGTCGCCATGGCCTCGCGCACCCTGCACATCTACGACTTACACGCTCTCTCCACCTCCCTCGACCAATCCCCCAACACCTCCACGGCCTCCGAAAATACCCAACCCATAGAACCCTGGCAACGACGCGAAAGCAGTCTAAAATTCATGACGCGCGCCGTGGCCTGCATGCCCAACGATGCCGGCTACGCGTCTTCCAGCATCGAAGGCCGCGTCGCGGTCGAATGGTTCGATCCCTCCCCAGCCTCCCAAGACCGCAAATACGCGTTTAAATGCCACAGGCAACAAGCAGCAGATGAGCCCGGTGTTGATGTCGTATATCCCGTCAACGCGCTGGCATTTCACCCTGTGCATGGCACATTTGCGTCTGGTGGCGGGGATGGGGTTGTGGCCTTGTGGGATGGGTTGGCGAAGAGGAGGATTCGGCAGTATCAACGGCATCCAGCTAGCGTGGCTGCGTTGGCTTTTAGTGGAGATGGGAAGTTTTTGGCCATTGGGGTTTGTCCTGGGTTTGAGGAGGGGAGGGAGAAGGAACAAGGTGAGGCGGGGGAAGGGGTTGTAAATGTGTATATTAGAGAGTTGGGGGAGAATGAGGCCAAAGGAAAAGGGGTGAAGTAAAATGAGATGAATTGAGTAATGGGTTGCTACGTTAATTTTCTTTTCTTTTCTTTTCTTTTCTTTTCTTTTCTTTCTTTTATATATTTTCTAGCGTATTATTGTGTCATACTCAACACAGTAATCGTTGTATCCCGAACCAAAAACCAAGAAAATAAAACCCAATGATACCTCTATCAAGGTAAAACCCTCTCAAAACAAAATGAGACGTAAAAACGAAATGGAATATAATGCTTATTATCAGTTCATCATAACTCACCCTCCCCTATTAATTTACTTCGTAGTGCGCACCGAAACCGACCCGTCCGGCATACCAAAATACGCAGCAACAGGCTTCTGCCCACCAATCCCACCAACAGCTTGAGCCTGCGGGCCCGTCAACCCGCAAAAGAGACCAACCTCCAATACACCGGGAATCATATTAATCCTATCCGCCAAAGCCGTTACCTCCCAAACCCCATTTTTCCCCGACCCGTCCTGACCTTGCGCGACATCCGACGGCAAGAGGAGTTTAGGAAATGGTGCGTCGATGAGGAAGAAGCCCTGATCAGTTTTCACTGGAGTGGCATGCTCTCCTACCTCGGGTGCGGTAATGCGGAGTTTGGGCAGGGGGCTGCCGATTTTTTGAAGTTCGGTTATAACGCGGCGGACGGCTATGGGGGCTACTTCGATGGGAATTGAAGGCCAGTTTGTTAGGAGGCGGGATTGGAGTTTTCGAGAGTCTGTGTGTAGTGGGTGGGGATTGGGTTAGTAATTTGGAAGGTGTGGTTGATAATATATGTGCTTGTAAGAGTGGTAGCTGCGGAGGGGGGAAATCCTCGCACGCATTTTGACATGTGGAGCTACAATAGGAAAAGAAAGGAAAAACTTAAATATATATATATATAAAGATATATTTTGCCGCACATACCAGCTACGCAAATAAACTCCTTCGCCTGTAGTGCAACTAGTTTCTCCTGGAACAGACATGCACCTCCGCCCTTTATACAATTGAGGTCGTCGTCGACCTCATCCGCGCCATCAAACGCAACGTCTAACACGGCGCCCTCGGGAAGCGCATCGAATGCGACAGGGGTCAAGCCCGCATTGACAACGAGCTGGTTCGACTGGTACCCTGTGGGCACGAAACCCGTGGTAGACGTATCCACACCGAGTGCCTTGATGGCCTCGACTACGTAGACAATCGTGGTCCCGCTACCGATTCCGACGAATTTGGCGTTTGGTGGGTAGTGTTTATCAACAGCTTCTTTCGCAGCGTTCCGCTTTGCGTCTTCGATTGTGGACATGGCGGAGGGGTGTGTGGCTGCGTAGGATCGTTTCTGAGGGGAGAGGGGGGTATAGAAAAGCGGACGGGGCAGCGGGAGTACAACAGTTAGGAGGTGGGATGCTGTTAGTGAGTGGCGGGGTAGAAACTTGAGCCTAGAAATTTCAGTTTGGGGCTGGAATTAGAAAATTGTTTGCTCTTTTTTAGGATTGCTGCAGAATATGGATCGGGAGGATGCAATGGGTTATAGGTTATTTATCTAAAGTGGGATGCTAAAATACTTTGTACTTCCACCCTTTCTTTTCATACCCAGGAGTTGGCGGCGTTACTTACAGGGTGCATGCGACTAATGGTCTTGGTATGAGTTTCATGAAGCTTTCTGGCGGGAGGAGGGTGGCGGGAAATGTTAGTTATAGCTAAATAGCTGTTAACTAGTTACATATTAACGTTATATGAGTAGTTTAAGGAGTTGACAGAGCACAATCCCTATAGCTAAGACACCACGGGAGTCCATCAACATCACTAATTCTTAGGCTGCGCATGACTATAGCTGCACCATGGTATCATCGCAAGCCAACTTTCAGTTGGCATCATGGATGAAGATGTTTGACAGGAGGCGATCCATGGGTTTATTGTTGGTGATGTTGGTGGTGATGGTTCGTTAAACCGCCCAAGTACGCTCCGGCCCTACTATTTTCCCCTCTAGCTCCGCGTTAAACTAGACAACACGACAAGACGACAACAAGACAACAAGACAACACGCCGTACGCTTGCTGCCCCCATATTAGTCTCTAGTAGACACTTCTGCAATAAAGAATATAACCGTCCTGGGGTGGCATATAGCGGCATAGAGCGGCCTGAAGTAAATCAATGGCCTCTATCATTCCTTTTCTTGCTTAGACATAAAAGTGTTGTTTGCTTTCTTCAATGACCGAATCTTTCCCAACACGTCCTGCGGGGCCAACCTCAAAGGAGCGCAAATACGACCGCCAGCTACGATTATGGGCTGCCAGTGGCCAACAAGCTCTTGAAAACTCCAAGGTGCTTCTTGTAAACTCAGGTGGCCCTCTGGATAACGAAATCACCGCTGGTTCTGGAGTGGTGGGTGTCGAGACCCTGAAAAATCTGGTGCTGCCTGGTGTTGGCGGCTTCACAATTGTTGACCCGGCCATCGCCACTGAGTCGGACCTGGGAGTCAACTTTTTTCTAGAAGAAGCAAGCCTGGGAAAATCGAGAGCACAGGAGACGTGCAGGCTGCTGCGGGAGCTAAATCCAGACGTCGAGGGAGACTCGTTCGATCAGGTGTGCTGCATCTATTCGGATTGTCCCAATATAAAAAAAATAAAAAACAACCGAACGATAGCTGACTCTTTAGACAGCCCATTGGAGAACTTCTAAAAGATGAAGGCTTCCTACAACCATACGCTCTCATAATAGTCTCGGCTCCAGTGAGTCGTTCCACGTTAAAAGCTATTTCTGCCGCCGCCCGACAGCACTCAATTCCTCTCATTTACGCCCATTCGGTTGGCTTCTACTCTGCATTCTCACTGCAACTCCCTGCTGTATTTCCCATTGTCGAAACACATCCAGATCCAGAATCCGTTCAAGATCTACGTTTGATCAACCCTTGGCCCGAATTAGCAGCCGTCGCCGCGGCCAAGACGGCGGATATAGATAGTCTTGATGACTACGAACATGGCCATATGCCATACCTATTGATACTTCTTCATTTTCTCGAGAAGTGGAAGAAAACACACAATGAGAACCCACCTACCACGTACAAAGAAAAGTCAGAATTCCGTGAGATGGTTCGGGATGGGACCCGGGCCGATAACTTGGAAGGAGGGGAGGAAAACTTCGACGAAGCCGTAGCCGCCGTATTAAAGAGCATAAACCCCTGGTCTCTAAAGAGTAATGTTGAAGAAGTATTTAAGATGGAACAGTGTAACAAACTCACCGCAACCTCTGGCAATTTTTGGATCATCGCCTCCGCCGTTAAATCATTCTACACCACCCACAATGTCCTCCCGCTCCCAGGTTCCCTTCCAGATATGAAGACGAAGTCAGAAGACTATATCTCCCTCCAAAATATCTACAAATCGAAAGCACGCAAAGACGTCGCAGAGGTCGTCCTTACCGTTAGGGCTCTAGAAAGCCAGCTCGGGAGGGATACGCCAGCATCTCAAATCTCTGA